TGATACCCACTCTCCTTTCGAAGAAAAAATTGTTATTGTTTCTTTGAATTCTGGAGTAGTTATGTCCTTCAAAAGCTATAAAAATGAAGAAAAACACCTCTTCCTTCCTCCTCGCTCTATTCTTGTTTTAAGTGATGAAGTTAGATACGCCTGGTTCCATAGTATTGCAAGTAGAAAGGTAGATAAGGTAGAAGGGGACTTTAATTTCCGTAGAAGAAGAGTTTCTCTCACATTTAGAACTGTATAGTTCAAACCATGTAGATGTGCTTATCCATTCTTTTGTGAGGATCAAGGATATGACCCAGTTACAATGAAAAAAAATAATCCCCTTCTTCCTAGAGATTACCATGCTAAAGATGACTCAACAAAGGTCGTAGCTCCTAAAAGTGAAGAAGAATAAAAAATTTTAGACGAAGTTTAATAAGTAAATACTGATGGCAAGCCAACAAATTTAGAACAAAAGTATGTCTATGAAGTTTATGAGAAAATTGCTCCTCATTTCTCACATACCAGATACAATCCTTGGCCTAAAATTGAAAGCTTCTTAAAAGGATTAGAACCTGGTTCATTAGTTGCTGATATTGGTAAAATCAATTTAATTTATTATAAAATAAATAATATTTTTCAAATTATTAAAGGTTGTGGAAATGGCAAATATTTAGATTGCCACAATGGAGATATTTACATGATAGGAACAGACAGAAGTGAAAATTTAATATCTTTAGCTAGAAACAGAGGTGAGGATATTTAGGTATTTAGTGCTGATTCTCTTAAGCTTCCATGGTTGAGCTCAAAGTTCGATAATGCTATTTCAATAGCCGTTATTCATCATTTTTCAACCCCGTAAATATAAATAAAAATATATTCTAGATAAAAGAAATAAATATTTAAATTAATTAAATAGAGAATTAAGAATACATGCTATAAAGGAAATCTTAAGAATTTTAAGAGTTGGAGGAGAGGCTCTTATTTATGTTTGGGCATTTGAATAAACTGAAAAAAGTTTCTCAGAATAAGATGTGTTTGTGCCATGGAATTTATAGAATAAATATGAAGACGAAAAAGTAGTCAAAGGAGAAGTTAAACCCAACACAGATATTTAAATTAATGAAGCCAAGCAAAGTGTTGTTTACAAAAGATATTATCATGTATTCAAAAAAGGTGAATTAGAAGAACTTATTTCAAGAATACCTAATTGCAAGATAAATGATAGCTATTACGATCATGCAAACTGGGCTGTTAAAATTCAAAAGACTTCAGAGTGATTAATCTAAATATTTAAATTTAAAAAGTATTAGAAGGAAAACATAATTTTTATTTTTAAAATACACAATCTTTCTATCTATTTATCTATCAACCTATATGTTTATAATTTATTACCATTATTTTTACAAATAAAATTTTATAACTTTTTATTATAAATCATTTTAAATTATCTGAATTAATAAGATTTATTTTGCTTAAAAAGCTAATCAGTTTAGAATATTAATTGATAATTAAATTTATTTAATGAAAACCCCTTTAAATAATAGCCCAAAGTTTATTTAAGATTCTAATAAATAAAAAATAAATTTTAAGAGTTTATTTGATTTTAAAAAATAAAAATTTGCATCAAAAATCTTTGGGTAGGTTGTAATAATTATTTATTTCTTTATTAATTAATAAATAAATAATATAAAACAATTTAAAAAAATTTTTTCAATTTAATTTAAGAAACTTTAAGCAACAAATATACTTAAAAAAATAAATTTTTAAATATTAGATTAATTTAAGAGATATAAAGAGTTATTTTTAGTAAAAATTCCTATTATAAAATCTATATAAGCTCTAAAAAAATATAAACATACACCAAAACAAATATATAAGATTAAATTATAATAATTAAACTATTAAAATTCTAATACTTATTTCTATTTACCCTCTTAAAGTATTTTAAAATTTAGTATTTTGATAGAGTAAACCTTTAAATTTGTAAAATACTACTATTAATAAATAAACTTTCTTAAGATTAAAAATAAAAAAAAACGATTAAATATTAATATTTTAAAGTTAAAACTAAGTGAAATTTTGCATTAAGATGTGTAAAAGTTGCTAGATAATTTTAAGAATTCTTTTTAATTATATGATAATATTAATATTATTTTAAAACAGACAATTAATTTAATATAAATAAAATAGTGTAGTAATTAATTATAAATAATAATCGAGTAATTTTATATTGTAAGTAATTGAAATTGTGAGTATTTATTGTTCTTGCACTTTATAAAATTTAGCTTTATTGAAAATAATTTATTTTAATTTTATGCTTTTAAAGAAGCTAGCTTTTTACAATTAGCTATAATTGGTTGATTGATTGACTCAATCATTCAGTCAATTCCTGAGTTAATTATTAATTCAACTATTGATTTCAATCTAATTAATTTTTTGGTTCAAATCTTAAATTTAATTTTCTATTGAAATAATCTAATATAATTTATTAACACATTCTTATTTATATTTTAGGTCTGTATCAATTATTAGGTTAATTTTGTCTTGATCTTGCTTAGAAATATCAACTTCTCTCTTCAGTTATAAATAAATTAATATTTTAAATAATTTAATAAATTAATTACATTAATATGGTGTTTGAATTTTCCTAATACTTTTTAGTAGAGCTCTTAGCCTAGAATATTCGTGCATACTTTTTGCAACTATTAACTTTGCACAGATAATTCAAATTTTTATTTATAATACTTAGATAGTTAAGGATTATCTGTATTTTTCGGCACTTCTATTTCTGTCTCTTCCTCATCTTACATTTAATTAAACGCCTTATCTAAATCTGTTTAAGATAGATGAGTCATGCTCTTTTTGGTGTTATAACTTTTAGCATGCTAGCTCATATCTGACACAAGTCTATTCATAGAAGTCAATGCCGCATTTGTCTTAGATTACTTTGGATATACTTGCAAAGAAGAAAGCTTTTAACTTACTACTTAATTGGTAATATTATTAGTGCTATTCTATGTTAAATTAAATTGTGTAGATAACATTTTATTAAAATTATTACTACTAAATGTATTTTAATCATTGATATTATATTTATTTACTAATCTATCTTAATTTATATTTTTATCACAAGAGTCATATCTTCTCATTTATTCCTATTTTGATTATATACTCATTTTCTTTAAAGCTTACTATTATTTAATTTAAGGAAAGGCTTTTTATTCACTTGCTCTATCCTCATAGTCAACTGTCTTAAAGGTGTTTTAACAAGATATGCTTTTTTATAAATGTTGCTAATTTAGCAATTACTATTGTTATACAACCTTGGAAAAATTTAAGTCAGTTTCTTTACGAATCCTAATTGGTTGCTTTGCCATAGAATTTAAATTAGCTGAATTACCTACCCCAATCTACTAAAATCCTAATTAAGATTTTGTTGATCGCATATGGTTTGGTTAATTAAATGGGATAGGAGAGTCACATTTAAGTTAATCAAATTTTATTTAAGGAGAATAGGATCTAAAGTTTTCAATACTTTATTTAAAAACGTTATTACCTAAACTTTCCCTTTATTCTTAAATTAATCTTTCACTTGGAGTTGAGTTTATTGATTTATTAATTCCATATTCAATTAATTTTTTAGCTTTTATTTTATTAAATTATGAATGAATGAATGAATGAATAAATAAATAAATAAATAAATAAATAAATAAATAAATTGAAGTTTATATTTATCAAATAAAAAATAAATAATCTTCTTTAAAAAATAAAAACTATTAAATTTATTTAAGTAACAATTAATTACTTCTTGATACAACTTAAGGAGATTTAATTAATTTTTGAAGTTCGACTTTTGATGCGCTTTTTTCTTAATTAATAAAATGTAGATCACTTTAACTTTGCAAAGGTGTTTCTTTTTCAGAATTATTCCCACTACTTTAATTGGCTATAATTTGAAGCTTAAAATTTCTAAATTTAGATCTTTCTAATGGAGAGCCATTTTATTAATCTTTAGCTATTTAACTTTTTGGAGTACTGTCTTGGCTGAGAGAATTATCATTTTTTTTAGTTTAAAATAAAATAAAATCCTTGCTTTTAATGATCTTTGCTGGAGACTCCTATTCAATTTTAGTTTCATCTTAGTAATTTTGAGCTATAAGCTGCTAAACCGCCTTCAAAGAATGGCCTATTTGCTTCGCTTTCATTTCTATTTCTATTCGATTGATTTAAAAATTATAATTTAAATGAAGTAAAATTGGAATGAGCTATTCTTGGAAAATATTCATTTGATTAATAAATAAATACCAATAATTAATTAATCCATTTTATAGATTTCAATAACTATAATCACCCTTTTAAAATTTTAATGGACTGATACATTGTGTATAGTAAGTATAATAGGTATAACAATAAAAAATTTTTTTAATGTTTTGAATCAAATAATCTAAGATAATAAATCAATTATCTTACCAGGATCTGTGAGTAGCTATTTTATTGAATACCTTTTTTAGTGTTCTTTTGTCAGACATAGCTCTATAAGTCTATGTAATTATGGAGAGTAATTAGATGAAATAGGTATATATTAAGCTTTTTAAATTTTTAGCACTAGAGAGCCTTAATTTGTTGCTTCAAAAGGTCTTTTAAAGGTAGCTAGTTAATATAATACACATCCTAGTGACCATACATCGCTTTTTTCATTGTATGGAATGTCTTAAATAATTTCAGGAGACATGTAATAAGGTGTTCCCACTTGAGAATGGGCATGTGATTTGTTATTTTCTAATTATTTAGCAACTCCCAAATCTCCGATCCTTATTTATTCGTTACCTGTTAAAAATAGATTCATAGTCTTAATATCTCTATGCAATATATTTCTCGTGTGCAATTCAAGGAGACCTTCTGCAATTTAGAAAAAGAATTTCCAAATTTTTTTTTCTACTAAAGGTCTACCCATTTAGTTTTTGATAAAATTCTCAAGATCACCTTATTCACAGTATTCCATCACGATACAGAGCTAATTGTTTTCTAAAAAGCTATCATAATATCTAACAATATAAGGGCTGTTTAATTTGTTGAGTAGAATTGCTTCATTAATGCATTCTTTTCTTTACTTTTGCTACATTCCGCCTGCTAATATTTATTTTAACACATAGGTATTTTGATCTTTTTTTCTCCTAACTTTATAAACAACTCCATGCGCTCCTTATCCTAATTTCTTCAGTATTTCAAAATCAGACAAACAAGAAACACTATTTGCATTTTAATCGGAATTACTAGATTCATTTTGCACTTTGTTCTTTAAAATATCTGTCATCTTAATCTTAAGTTCAGCTTACTCTAAAAAAATAATTAATTAATTTTTTAACTATTATGATATCATTAATATATATTGAATTTACTACACAAATATATGAAGAGATTTCAAAAAGGTTAATACAAATTTGCTTTTTCCTAATAATTTATTGAGTTGTTAACTTTGTAGAATTGCTATCTCCTTAATAATAAGCTTAATTTATTGTTTTCTAATTGTTACTGCAATTTTTAAGGAAATCAAATAATAAATGGAATTTTTGGTATGTGCAATTTTTTTTTAATGGGTAGAGCGAATTTAGTACCTCAAAAATTTTGGCATAAAATTTATCTAAATATTTCATATTTTTTATTGGTCATAAACCCTTCAATTTATTTAATCAGTAGAAATAAATCATGTTAATCATCACCAAATATCTATAATTAATAATCAGATATTATAAATTAATTCATTATAGATAATTATAATAAAATTACAATATTTCAATTTTGTTTTATATCAAAAAATATTTTTTTAAAAATAAATCTAAATAATGATGTAATTATTTTGCATATTTACTATTTTATAATTTGAGTTTATATATTTGAAAAATAACTTAATACTAAGTACTAATAGTATTAAATAAACTGATACTGATATAAAATAATTTTAAAAGGTTTAATTTATTGTTTATTATAATTTTTTTTCTTATTTAAGGAATTAAATAAATAAATATTTTTATATTTATAGAGAAATAAATCTCTGATATATAAAAATGTAATTTGTATGATCCTAAATTTGATCATAATTTATTAAAATATCTCGATAAAAGAATAAAAAACTATTCTAAACTTAAATATGAAGTTTAAAAACAAACGAATCTGCTATGAAATTTTTTTCAATTTTATTAAAAGGAATCTTAGCAAATTAGTAAAATTTGTTCAAAAAAATATTCTAAACTGGCACAAAGGACAAATAAAAATGTATTTTGTTTTACTATTATATAGTGATAATATATTTATTCTAGAATTCCTCAATATACGATTATTAATCCTATGAGTAAGAATAAAAAGTGAGTTAGCAAATTAGATGAAATTATTTATGTTTAAAAACCATAGACTTTAGTTTTTCTTAACGTAGATTTCATGGCATAAGGACTTGGATCTTCTTCAGAAACAGCCATGTACAGTTGGAATTGATTTCCATTAAGATTGTTAAACAAGAATTAAGAATATTTAGTGCTATTTGTAAAACTAATCTGAACTCCATAGGGCATATCTTTTGATTAGTAATTCTTGCCTTAAATCAGCGAATAAGATGTATAACTATCAAATGCTGATTGTTGGGTAGTATCAGTAAGCTAATTATCTAAGCCAACATATAAAAAGCCATTTGCTGTGATCCTGATTTAAGTTATATTCAATGTACTTGATACTTAATTGACATCTATGTAATACTACTCATTGATAGTTGGATACTAAGTAGTCTTTTATACTTAAGAGAGAGTGCCTACTTATGAAAGGCCTGTAAACGGATAAGACAATGAACTTTAAGGTAAATTCAAATCCCATTCAGTGAAATAATAGTTACTATAATCAGTTATGAATTTTTTAAGACTAAAAACAAATGTCTGTACTTATACTGCAGAAAGTAATATCTAAGTAACATAGTCTTAAGGACTATTCCAATCAGGTATAAAGTAAATAGTCAAAGAACTACGAGGATTTTGCTTAACATTTGCAATATTACCTTATGAGTTACCAAAGTCATACTGGTTTAGATAGTTATCACATGTAACTCTATCATCTGTATAAACACTTGTTGGTGGTATGTGCAAAAATGTGCTGATATAACAAGCTAACTTAATTTTATTAGGCAAATCGATAGGCGTATTGAATGTTAATGGAATTTTGGTGATTATTCCTCCATTGTTTGCAGTAGTAATTTAATAGCTCAGAATATTTACTGATTACTAATTAAAATTATTGAGGCATATAGATGATATAGTATAATTTTTGGAGCTCATCAAATTAGATATCAAAATTTATGTATACTAAGCATTAGGGTTACTTAAAGCAAATCCATATTATAATTGCTATTAGGTATTAGACTGGAAATTATAGAAAGTTTCTGCTCTTGATATAATTTCAGCTCTTAATTAATCATAATATGATTGAGGTTAAGTTGTAGTAGTTGTTGTAGACAAGCTGTAAACATTAGTAAGTTCTACTTTGTAATAAATTACACCATATTGAGGGCAATATGGACGATATAAAACAAAAGTTGAGTTCACTTAATCTAATTAGGGTGATAACATTCTAAATTACACACCACTATAGCTTATTTAATTAACTTCAAGGAGAAGATTTTAAGGCAATCCAAAATAATTATTATTAGAGTTAACAGTTAACTAAACGTAAACTTGAGTACCTACAATTGAATTCAAACCAGCTTAGAACTTAAAGACAATACTTTAATTAGTATTTGATGAAGATATTGTTTTAGTTGCTGTTGCTGATAAAGTTCCAGAACTATTCACTACAGAAATATCATAAGTTGAAGATTGTAAAACAGTGAGAGTTACACTAACATCTTGAGTAATAACAAATCCTTACTACTAGAAAGATACAATCAATGGATTAGAATACCCGTTTTTAGGTACATAGAATGGAGTATTTGCATTCGAAAACACTATGTTCTGTTAAATTTGTACTAAATTAACATTGCAAATAGGAATTGTAGAGTAGCTATTAAAGTTATCATACGACTTCAAGAAATATACAACATAATTACCTGTTTAAATTGAAAAAAATAATTTAATACATTTTTAATTAATGATATGAAGTATTACTAGTAGGTGTTTGTGTCTTTGCATAGATATAAAAAGAAAGCTAGCTAGCTCCAGGGGCAGCAAATGGTCTTTGAGGAATAATTCCAAAAAGTGAGTCATCTTTTAAGGCTATTTTTAGAGGATATTAAAATCTTTGATTATTCACAATATTTAAAGTTATCAATGTTTTAAAGGGCCCTTTGTTTACAGTGAAAGTATTACTAGTATCAGGATATTTCCAATTTAATACTAAAGTAGATTAATGATAATTAAATTTAAAATAGGGAATTTAATTATTTATTGCAACACTTCTTGCATAGAGAGTTTATGTACCAGTACCAGATTACACATGGAAAACCCACTACTTAGGAAGAATGCAAAGAGGCTGATTAATAAAAAAGTAAAAAAAATTGAATATTATTAATTGAATAAAAAAACTAATTTTTGATCAAAAAAGAATTCAAAATATTTTTTTATTTATTAAGATAGTATATTAATAAAGCTTGTTTACATTTTAAGGATTTGCAATGTTAGATAAAACCAAAGTAAAGGGCTCTACAGCAGTATTAGCAACGTCACTCCAAGTTAAAGCTAAGGTAATAAAAGTTGATACAGTTGTGGTTAATTTCAAGAATTGATTAGTATTTATCCTTCTTAAAGTGATTTATGGTGTGTAGAATTGTAATAAGTATTTCCATTAAGATGGGAAAGTTATGTAAAATTAATATGCAGTACCTTGAGTAAAGAATCCAATTGGGAAAGTGAAGTTGAATGTTAGTGTATTTTACTGTTATACATTTGTATTTGCTAACTGGATTCCTGTGATAAAGAAATTATTATTTGGCTAGATGTTTGAAGCTATATCATTAACCGAACTATATGTGACAGGTACTAATTACTAGCCTACATTGTTTTACTAATTCACTAAGGATATAAAGAATGTATTCAAATTAGGGTCAGGGGAAGCTATAGATGGTAATTAAACTCCAGCAATACTTACACTAAATGTACTCAAATTTGTTGGAACATTAGAAATTATCAAATTATAGGGACTCGATATTGAGCATGGTGATATTTGTGAATTAATCAAACATTGCAAAGATGCATCTTAAACGAGTTAAGGTAAATAGGCATTAGCAAATCTAATTAAAAAGAAATTTGTTCCTTGAGTCACAGAATTTGCAACAAAGCTGAAAGTTAGAGTGCAGATAGAGCCGTAAGTGTTAAAATTGCTTTTGGAAAGAGTAACTGGAGTTGTGGCCTTAGCAGAAGCTTACATGTTAGGAATAGTCAGTGTTGCAGGCAGTTAGATAATAGTCGTACCGTCAGATTTATACAAAGCAATTGATGGACTATTTGTGAATGAACTTGATGGTAAAATAATATTTCGACATATTACAGTAAAGTAATTAGAGCCTGAATAGCTGATGTCCTTTTTAACCTAAAATGAGACTTTGAAATTATTAGCAGCTGTGTTAGCTATTGTAGCAAATGAGAAATAGTTGCTAACAGATCCACCTTACCAAATTTAACATTATATTTAAAGATTAACTGTATTTATATTAGCAGCAGCTAAATCACTGTTAAAGTTTACTTAAATTATTTCAGATTAAAGAAGACCTCTTTAATCATTTGTATTGAAAGAAATTCTTACAGTAGATTCAGCTGAGTAATAAGGATAATCAATATCCAAATAGCCATCAATTAAAATAAGGGGTTTTTGAGTAGCTAAATTATTATAATTTAGATAGCTGGGATATTATAAGGAAGCCTAAGTTTGGTCAATTAATACTTAGTCTTTAGTCATCGTTTAAATTAAAAATAAGTTATTGCTCTGAGGCTATGTTGGAGCATCATTTCCATAGTGGAAAATTTGCATAAATCCTCCCGGTAAAATGTTAGTTCCTGATGATAAGCTCTAAAACTAGAATAAAATAACTTAATTTTAACCTGTTGGTTAGCTCACAATACAATTATGTGGAATAGAAGTTTAAAATTTGCAAGTTGTAGTTGCTAAACCTATCAGTGTTATAGGATCTTTAAAGACTATTTTAACATATCCATTTGATGGAAGAGGATTTGTTGTTGTAAATGTCCAAACTATACGAATATTTTTGGCCCACAATCTAATTGTAGGAGAAGCTGTATTCAAAGTTACCTAAATCTCGTTAGGATTTCCAATATTCTGTTGTTGATAGAGTAGTGTTGCAATTTGTCCATCTTTTTTAAGATAAAAATTTGTTAAATACTTATTTATAAATTATAAATTTTGACTGTTTTTTAATAAGCAAATTAATATAAAAAATAAAAGTAAATAAAAAGTGATTACTTGATGTTGAATAAGCAAAGCTTGTGCTGCTAGGCAGATAAAGTCCTAGTGTTTAAGGTAGTTAGAAATTTGTCACATTTACTTAGCTAACTGTAGCTGTAGTTCCCACTTCCATAGCACAGAAGAAACCGTAGCGCCAATTTTGAGTAGAAGAACCCTGATTTTAATTATACTAAAAGGATAAGCATTTTCTTATGTTAGAAGGGAGACCACCTTACCAATAATAATTTTATTAGGCTCCTCTGAAATCATATGAAGTAACAAATGTAAAACCTGCACCATTTTATGGAGTATCACTACTACCTGTGTTTGTACCTACTACTGTAGTTGTCTCAGTGTGACGAGCATTAATTGATATTTAAGGAGCAAGCTAGCCAACATAGTTATTTTACAGATTCATTCCATAACTATCAATTCTTAAAATACCAGTAAGCATGTAATTATTTGTAAGTGGTACAGTATTAGCTTAAAGTTATTGGAATGAAATAAATTGAGTAGTGTCCTGTAAATTATTGCTACCTGTTAAACGGAAAACTGTGCTTGGCTGGAAAAAATAATTTTTCATGGCAGCTTGTTCAAGAGGTGATGTAGGAATCATCTCTTAATATTTCATAGTTGCTATAAAGAGAGTGACCTAGGTAATTCCAGTTATTGTTTAGACAGGTATAAGTAACTCAAAGGGACTTCCTGAGCCAGTAGGGACTGTTGTAGGAAATTGGACTTCCACTCTTTACATGAAATTATAATTTTAATAGATATTTTAAGTTTGTTAATTCAAATTGTTAAATCCACGACACAAAGTGGGAGTGGCCCCTACAGAACTTGTGCATTAAGTTGAATAGTTTATAGTAGTTGGCGAATCTGAGAAGAAATTCAATCCTGTAAAGAAAACAAATAGGCGCTGATTTCCATCTGTGAAATCGGTCGAACTTAAGTAACCTGCTAACCTAATAAAAGTAGGGACATTAGTTCCATCATTATTTGAATTTAATCCTCCATAAAAATTCACTAAACTATAACGTAAATTTTTTGGCTTTGGAGTGTTTATCGTGTAAGCATTATAGATGATTGCGAATTTAAATTATGGTTAATAATTTTGAATATTATCATAAAAAAAGAAATAGAAATCTAGGGAGTTATCATCAGCATATAAAGAAGCATGCATGCGGACAAATACTGTACGAATAGCAAAAATCATTCCTCCGGAAAACATATTCGCAATATCTGCCATTTTAGATGTTTGAACCTTTAAACGAGAGTATTATCCAAGCTCCAAACTCTGATATTAATCAGCTGCTAAATTAGTGTTTGATGAGATAACCTAGCTGCTTTATAAATTACCATACTGGTCAATAGCAAGTCCTTTTTGTTAAAATTAGATAACTCTACTGTTTGTTACCAAATAGTAGCCTGCTCTTTAACTAGTTGGAGGAGAAGCAGCGTCATTGATGTTTGTGATATCAGTAGGGGTTAATTGCATACAGAAAATGAGCTTTTGAGGAGTATTGTAGGTTTTTTCTGGGACTATACCTAATATACCATTTGTTGCATCACTAAAAGGATTATAGACAGCATTAGCTTAATTTGTAATTACCTAGCTAGATATTGCTGTACTTTCTGAACCAGCTAAAAAGTAACTTTTATTAGGTACCAAAACAATACTACTTGTTTTAGTTATCACTTGGTTTTAAACAATAGCATCTGTGAAAGGTAACATATTATTATTGGGGTTAAGTAAGAAGATTGATACTTTTGAAAAATCAGGGCCGATTGTTGCACCGTTTACAAACATTATTTTAAATCCTATAAAATAATTCTGCTTTGCAATCATTTATCCTACGTTAAAACATTTTATAACTCTAGTAGGTCCATCATTTAAAATGCCACACTCAGTTCTGCTAGTTCCTGGAATTTCTGGAAAATTATGAATTATACTACCTTGTAAAACAGTTGCTTGATTTGGGGTTGCTGAAGTACTTGTGCCTACATTAAATGTTAGTTATACCTACAATCCAGCTGGAGTGCTTGTTTGGAGTGAAAATTAGAATTGAATAGAATTGTAAGTTGAGGCTGTGCCTACTGTAGCAGCATTTGTGAATATAGGCATCACTTAATTAGGAGCAGGTGTAACTGTTTCATCTAATCCCCAGCCTATCTTCATGCTAGAAGAAAGAAGTTAAATTCCCTAGACGTATAAAAATTTAGGAGATTAACCCATTTCTAAGACATTTCTCGTATTGATCTTAAGTCTGCTGACAACCAAATCTAATTTATTTCATTAAATAATATTTTTTAATATTAATCTTTCCATTTTTTTTTAACTTAAGTAAATAAATTATTGATATTATTTATTTAATTAATAGTACAGATTTTACTGAAACTTTAAATTTATTTAATATTTAAAAATTTATTGGTAGAATAATTTGAAAATATCTAACTGGACTAATTGTAAATTATTAAATATCAATGATAAAATTTACTTTCTCCAGCAGAAAAAGCATAAATTGGATTTGCTACATAAATAGCAAAGCGCAAACGGCTATCTTAAAGAAGTGTAGGGTATACTTAAATAGAAACCAAGTTATTTTAAACAATGCAACTATATTAGTCAGCAGGGAGAGCATTTACGACATACGCATTTGTTTATTTTCCAACACTTTAGCACAAGCTAGTAAGTGTTCCATCATTCTTGCTTACAAAGCTGAAAGGAGAAGAATTTCCTTAACCAAACTTTATTTCGTACAAAGAACCTCCTTATCCATTTACATTATTCATAATATCTACAAACACTTAATATTAAGCTTAAAAGTTGTTCTAAATACTGGAATCAACCTAATAGCCTATAACTAAATTTGAAGCAGCATTATCAGATAAAGCGAAAGCAGAAAACAAATCATTTCTATCATAAATTATTGGATTACCTCCAAAACTTTATCCAGAAATAGTAACCATTGAAATATAATTTGTGATCCCTACTGGTTAAGAAACAGGCTAATTATTACTTTGTAAAATTAAAGCATACTCAACTCCAGCTTATAATGATGCATATAGCTGGAATTAATAAACAGTAGATGAAGCAGTCTGGGCAAATATAGTTACAGCTTACTGAGCGCTAGGATTTATGTACTGACTAGGGTTAGTAGTAGTTAAAGTATCGTTTGCAGAACAAGTAGAATAGCTAATAGGTCCTAATGTTGCTGTAAGACCCACTGCAATATTTGCATTAACACTAGTTTAGATTGCATAAGGCATAGTAATCTATATTAAATCAGAAGAGTCCAACGGAGTCTGTAAAGTAAATACAAATGTGTACTAAGAAATCAAATTTCTATTAGAATAATCAACTATGATATCCCATCCATTAATCTATCCACAAGAAACTAAATTGCTAATACCTATTACAGTAATGCAAATCAAATAACTTAAAATACTTTTCTAGCTAAAAGGACGGTCTTTCATTGTAAAAATCGTAATTCCTATTTTAATGGCTAGTTGGTTGACTGCTATAAAAATAATAAGATGAAACTTATTTTTATTTGTTTGTTTTTATTTACTTTGCTTACTTAGCTTTTTCCTAATATATTATAATTAATCAATCGAATATATATATATATATTAATAAATGAATTCAATTGTTATAAGAATTTATTTGTTATTTATTAATAGCCTGACTATCCTATTTACTGAAATAATAAAATATCTCTAAATCAATTTTTTTATAAGCAAATATTGATTATAAGATTTACATGTACATAATTAATTACTTATCTAATGTTTCGTTTCAATTCAAACTAATCTTAATGGATTAAATTTCATTCCATTATAATTAAATAATACACATAAAATAAATGTTCAGCGCATATTTAAAAATTATCAACCTTAAAAAATTATTTATCTAAAATATATCTTTAATTAGATCTTTCAATCTAGCTTTTTTATTTATTTTTAATACTAAACAAATAAATCAATCCTTTTATTATTTTCTTTAAAGCAGTTATTTGCTTAAAATTAATTTACTAAAATATTTTTTTTAATTTTTTTGATAATTAAAATTGATTGCAAATTAAATTTATTTTTTAATTATAACAATAATAATATTTTTGAAAATAAAAATAATATTTATAACAGAAAAAGAAAAAGCTACAATATTAGTAAAACTAGCAACTTATAAAAACTTAAAAACTAATTTTTAAACAGGTTATAAAAGAATTGAATAATTTTACTTGAAGAAAAATAATAGTATTTATATTTAATCTAACACAGTGGTTATATTTAATACTGATTAGTCATGTAATAAAACATCTCTCATTATTTTTTAAATATATTAATACAAAGATTTTAATTTGTAAAACTGTAAATTCTTATTTCTTAAACTATTTTACTAAAAGATTTATTATTATCAGTATTTTATTAAATAATAATTCCATAAAAATAATCTTTATATCTTCTTTTTTTTTAATCTATTTTAAAATTGTATTATAAGTTTTATATTTTTATAATTCAAATTGAAATTATTAAAATGAATTTATTGATCTTTTTTATTTCATATAATTTTTAATTTTAATGATTGGTTTTTAAAACAAATAATGTTGACTGAAAAGAATCCAATATGTTGTATTAAAGGACACATGACTTTCTTATATTTTTTTTATACTTATATTCAGTTTGAGTTTTTTTTAATAAAAGTATTGATTTCTAAAACAGCAGTATTTTCCTACAGCCAAACACAACTATTTTGTAATTTTCTTTGCTTTTAAAATAAATCAATCCATTTGCTAAAATTTAAGAAGCTTAAAGTAGCTCTAAATAAGGGATATAATTTTGTATTTTGTATTAGATTTTTAAGATTTTTCAAAATTATTACTTTTTCTACACTCATCTTAAGGTCTAAATGCTTATTAATCATTAATATATTAATAATCCCCCTTTAATTAAAGAATAGTAAATTAATTATTCATTATCAATAAAAATTAAATATTCTAATAATTATTTAATTAATAAACTATTGAAATAGTGTCATTTATACTGAAATTCAATTTTTAAGTCAAAATTTAACTTTTTTAAAAGTTTATAAGAAAAATTTGTTTAAATATGTTGTAAAAAAGTAAATTTTATTCATTAATTTCACATAAATTAATATTTTAACTTTTTTTTTAAAATTCAGGCAGATTTTGTAAAATTTTAAAAAATATTTATATTAAGACCTATTTTACTTTGGTCAAAAACAGGAGGGACATTAATTAATATATGGGAACCACTAAAGTTTTGGTGATATATTTTATTTCTCTCTGATTGTAGCAGATATGATTTTTTCAATATTCAAATAAATTAATTAAGTTATTACAATTATAAATTATAATAAAGTATTTAATTAAAAATATTCTAATTATTATACACATAATGTTCTAATATTTAATTATAATAGTCTCATTATTATAAACAGAATATTCTAATAAATGAATAAAAATATTCTAATTATGATAAACATAATAATATTCCAATATTTAATTAAAATAATATCATTATTATAAGCATAATATTCTAATAAATCAATTATCATAAATATATTTTTAATTCATAGCTTAACTTTTTTAAAAAAATGAAATAGAAAAATTTTGTAAATAAAAAATGAGTTAAATATTCTAATTCAAAATAGTATTTTGGGTAAAACTGTATAAATAGTAAATTAAATTATTCATAATTTAGTAAATTTTAAATCAAAAATAAAATTCAGTAAGATAATAACAATAAAAAAAATGGGATCATTGAGAACAGAGACTAGTGATAGCTATACTCCTAATGAAGATATATTTAAAATCAATTATGAAGAAAAGGGTTATATGGTTTTGCTAGAAATTAATAATCAAAAATTATAAATAACAATAATGCTAGAAGAACTTTGCTAATTTAAGTGGATGAAATAATTTACGCTTGAAGAGCTTTAAAATATAAACAAGATATTTAATATGTTTGATGATGTAGAATAATCATTCTAACCATTCTAAAAGTGGTTTAAATCTTATATTTAAAATTTAAAAATCAAAGGTAATAGTATGTATGTGACATTCAATTTTGAGTTAGATCAGACTTTCTAAGTTTAATTTATAATCTAACTTAATTAATGTGACTTAAATTGGAATGAAATTATTTCTCAGTTAAGCTAAAAAATTGTCAACCTTGAGAAAAAATCTGAACATCAAAAAGATTTATTGGAAAAATTTTAATAATAATCTAATAAGGAAATAGAATAATTTAAGGAAAGTCACTTATTTCAAGTTTAATAGGTGCATTAAAATTTGTAAAAATAATTACAAGAATACCAATAAGATTCAAGTACCTAGATTAATTTATTGAAAAATGAAATTACTTTGCTCAAACCAAAATAGAAATTTAGCAAAATTCTATATGTAGATGAAATTGAAATGATAAAAAACTGGATTAACAAAGATAATACCTAAATGAACTTAGAGCTTATATATAGAGCAAGCGAGCATGGATTTACAATCTAAAAATTATATGAAAGATGTGTTAATAGAACTCCTTTAATTTTAGTTGTTAAAACAACTTTGAAAAAAAGATTTGGTTTTTATACTGATCAAGCAATTAAAGACTATGGAGGCTAATATCTTACTCAAAATCCTAATAATCTTTTTATTTTTTCTCTAGATTTGAAATAAAAATACACATCAAATGACTCTAATAACTCTAATGCATTTTATTCAAATAGCGGCCATTTGGCTCTGGGTGGTGGTCATGATTTTGCTTTATATTCAAACTCTATTGATAATGCAAGTTCATATAACGCTTTTAGCGGTTATGGTAAAAACTAAGGAGTATCAGGACGTGGTATTTTAACAGGAGGAGCTTAGAATTTTACAACAATAGAAATTGAAATATTCTAAATAAAAAGAATATGATCTTAAATAATATTTTGAAGATTTTATAAACATGAATTCCCATTAAAAAAATTGTAAAAAGGATTGGGTAATTGAATAATACTCACTAAAATTTTAAGTTCGCTTTATGGAAATAATGATATATAATTAAATTGGATAAAATTTAAAGATAATTTAGTTTTTTTTAAAACAATTTAATATATTTTATGTTAAATATTCATGGCTTAAATACTTAATAAAATTTATTTTTAAATATAATGTGTTTAATACATTTTTCACGAATATAAAATATTAAAAAACCTAATAGAGAAAAAATATTTTGATGAATTTACATCAGCTCCTTGTAAATCCTTTAAAAGAAAATTATTATGTACAATATTTCAATTAAAAAATCTAATTATATTTAAATCATAATTAAAAAGTTTTGTAAATGTTATAACCAAATTCATCAATTATCAAAATCTAATAAATTTATATTTTGCTATTAAAATATAAATTTTTTAATATTTTCCAAAATATTCTTTTATTTCTTAAAATTTTTAGGATTTCATCGATTGTATAGTAAAAAATAAATTTTTTTGTTTCTATTTTATTCTTTTTTATCATTATGAAAAATTTAATTTAAACTAAAAATTATTTTTCATGGAAAAATATAAATGCTTAAAATACAATAAATTTTGATCATAAAAAAAATAAAAAAGATTAGTAGTTTTTAACTCAAAAATCTTTTCTTAAAATATTATACCAGATTATTAAAAAAAAAGATATTTTATTTCTACAATCTAGTAAATTTGTTATGAATTGTAAAAATATAGTAAACCTGGTTAATTTTTAAATATATTAAAAAATTAAATAGAATTATTTTTTAAAAAAAGACTTGATATAAAATATTAGAAAATATATATTCAAAATTAAAATAATAAGTTATTTTATAAAATATTTGGTTGCTTTCTCTTTCTTTTTCTGGACCAGTATTTTACTTTCACAATATTTTTGAAATTCTCTTAATGCGTCATTTCTATATCATAGTAGTTCATTATTTTTTTATTGATAACTTATAAACCACCTCCATGAGCTAATAACAAATTCATACTCTAATTCAAATCTTCTATTTATTTTTGTTATTTTTTTTGATTTATTTTTTATTTTATAATTGTAACTAACTGCACTAATAAACCTAAAATCATGTAAATAGGTTACTCTACTAAAATTATTTGAACTACCACTATAAATATTTAACTTACTGTATCAATTTAGTTTGCATAGTTATTTAAGTCTGGTTTTGTACAGAATATATTTAATAACAAATATAGAATGTAAAGAAAAAGCCAAGAACAATACTAAACAATAAAGTAAGCATTAGTTAGCTTAGAGTAAAATGGCATATAATATGTCACTACTATTAGTTGACTCAAAGATACAACTATAGATATTATGCACACAACAAGCCAGTACTAACTCAATTAAATAAAATATGTTGGAATGATAAATGACTCAAAGAGTAATACTATTAGAATAAAATTTCTAGTTGGTTTTAGCTCTTCCTTTGTTTCAATCTATAATTTCTATTTAACAATCATGTTAAATTATTATTCTTACAAAGAAACTTTGTTAAGGAAAATGTAAAACGTGTAAAATGTTCCAACACAAATTCCAAACAAAGTAATAATCAAAGGAATTTCAAAGATTAATTATTCAGCATTAAAATTTTTTATATATTGCTTTACTTAAGCATTTATTCCAATTATAAATATAGTCATAGTTAGCTAAAAGTACTGAATAATAAATGAGCAGAATATTATTTCATATATTTTAGTTGATTTAGATTTTATATTTTGATTTTAAATCTTAACGCTTAGAAAGTAAAATATAATAAATGAGAATAGGCATATTAAAAATAGGACCAAAGCTTATCCACAAGTAGCTAAAGTAAAATAAGCTAATCCTACAGATTCAAATTTTGCATCATAATATTAAATATCCGTCGAATCTATATACAGCAAAAATAAGTTCAGTTACTTAAATGATTGAGATGGAAGTTAACCTAATATTTTATTTCATTAAAAAACTTTTATAAAAGCTAAATATTTTTTTTACCTTTTAAAGCATTAATTTATTCAAATATATGAGCAGGAAAATTTGTCTTGACTAAAATGAGATAACTTAATTTCTGAGATGTTAATCCACTCTATGAGACTCCAAAACTTGAGCTTGACATAACATTTTAAGCAGCATTTAAGCCAATGGAACCTACAGAAGAAATTTACGATGTTGTTTAAGTTTATTATTGTATTTATTTGATTTTTTCATTAGTAAATACTGTAGAATTATATGTTTGGTATTATTATAAACAAGTAGAATCTTTTAGAATAAACCCATCTAAGCAAGATGTGCATTATCTATTGTTAGCAGCAGAACATGTTAGACAATTAGAATCACATGGAATACAAATACCACTTTATAAAAAAAATATTTTCAATAAACATTTATATTAATTATATTAAATACAAATTAAAATTGATTTTTTTAATAAAAATTACTTGATTAAATTACTACTGATTGGGCAAACACATTTTGTGTTTGAAGGATCCTGAATAAACGAAGAAGGGCATGGTGAAGAACAAGTTGCATTAATAGTTAGATAGTATCCAGTTATACAAGTTACACAAACTGTTTATGAAGAGCATTTGTCACATTGTGAAGAGCAAGGTTGACATACATCATTCAGATCTATAAATCCTGATGATATACAAGGACATACTTAACTAAATATTTTTAATTATTTAAGGAATTTACTTTTTAGTTTATTTTAAATAATCAAAATTTGATTAATTACTTTTATAAGGTACTATAAGGGCGACAAATACATTTAGTATTTGTTGAATCTTTGACAAATGTAGTAGGGCACTATGAAACACAGGTATTATCTATTGTTAAGTAAAATCCAGAGGTACAAACTTTACAAACTGTTTATGAAGAGCATTAATCACAATTAGATGGGCACTATTAGCAAACACCTAAAACATCTAAATATTAAACATTACAAGGACAAGTTTTGCTAAATTTAATATAAAATAAAATAAATCATTTTAGATATTATTATAATAAAATTATCATACTTTTAAAGAGAGCTATTACTACGGCAGATACATTTCGTATTAGTAGAATCCACAGTGAATGTAGAAGGGCAATTAGAAACACAAGTTCCATCTACAAACAAGAAATACCCATTAGAACATACAGTGCATGTTGTTTATGTGGAACATTGATCACAATTTGATCCACATGGCAAGCAATTACCTCCTATATCTATGTAACCAGTATTGCAAGGACATGTATTTCTAATTAAAAAAAATTTTAAGTTTAAGTTATTTATTTATTAAAGTTAAAAATATTTTATCAGAATTATGAAATTTTATTTTATTTTTTTCATTAAAATTTTTAAAATTTTCATATTTAATTTAATTAAAATAATAGAAAGTTAAACAGAGTGATTTTTTTTATTTATTTGAAATATAAAACTTTTAAATTATATTTTGATATTGTGAATTGAAAATTAAAAAAAGAATTCTTTGATAAAATAATTTTTATTTTACACTTAAAATTTACTATTAACACGACAAGCGCAATATTAATTAGAATTATCATTTACAAAAGTAGATGGACATGGATTAACACAAGTTCCATCTAGAAATAAGTAATATCCTGAGGCGCATACCTTACAAGTATTTTATGAGGCACAATTAAGACAATTTGCAGTACATAATTAACAATTGCCTGCAACATCAATATAGCCATTATTGCAATCACATGAATTTCTATTTAAAATAAATAATAAGTTTTTAAGGCTATTAATTTATGTTTAGAATTAAATGTTTGTAAAACTTTTGAATGTTTTATTTAAATTTTATTTAATATAATAGATTTACTGATTTAATAATCATGATTAATTAATTAATAAATAAAAATTAAATCAAATTAGATTAGATTAAAATTTTTTTAAATATTTGTTGATACTTACTTATTTTTTAATTTAAACTAATAAAACAGTTAATTTATTTCTTATTATTCTTTTTGAAGTATTATTTTGAGAAAAATCAATTACTTTCCTGGTGATATTGAACTATTAGGACGACAATCACAAGATTTAGTTGAACTATTAGAAACAAATGTAGTAGGACATGAAGAAACGCAAGTACCATCAATAAATAAGTAATAATTTGACTTACAAGTAGTGCATTATGTTTAAGTGGAGCATATATTGCAATTTGCAAGACATGGAACGCAATTACCTCCTACATCTAAAAAACCTGTGTTACAAGGGCATTGATTTCTTTATAAAATTAAAAAAATAATTCAAATATTTTATTTAATTTGATTTTTATATTTAAAATATTAAAGATTATGGTTTAAGAATTAAAATTTTTAAATATTTGTTAATGACACTTATATTTTAAAACAAACTAAAAAAAAAATTTATCAGTTAATATAAATTTGAGAAAAATCAAATATAATTTGCTACTATGGTGATATGGAGCTATTAGGACGACAAACACAAGATTTAGTTGAACTATTAGGAACAAATGTAGTAGGACATGAAGAAACGCAAGTACCATCAATAAATAAGTAATAATTTTACTAACAAGTAGTGCATTATGTTTAAGAGGAGCATACATTGCAATTTGTAGGACATGCTACGCAATTACCTCCTAGATCTAAAAAACCTGTGTTACAAGGGCATTGATTTCTTAATAAAATTAAAATTTAATTAAAGTATTTTTTTTAATTAAATTTAATATTTAAAATATTAAAAGCTTAAAAAATAGAAATTATGTACTTAGTATATATTTCAGCTTTAAAATAATACAAATTATCATTAAGTAAATTAAGTTAATAAGAAAGTGAAAGAATATTTTTTTTATTGTAATTTATTTTCCTTTTAAATTTTAACCTATTTTTGCTACAGTAATTATTTTTTATTAATTTTTGATTGAAAAATATAATCTTAAAATGGTTAAACAAAAATCTATTATTTAAAAAAAAGCTTATCAAAACTTATTACGATATTAAACTACTATTAGGACGGCAAGCACAGCTTTAATTTTAATTGTTCTTTATAAATGTACTTGGGCATTAAGAAACACAAGTCCCATCTAATATAGATAGAAACCCTGATGAGCAAATAGTGCAAGTTACACCTACAGGTAGTAAACTACAATTAGCTGGACATTAATATGAATCCCCATTGTGATCTATATAATATCCTGATGAACATATGGCTGCTCCACTTCCAGATTAATCACAAGCATACGGTTAATTAAGGCAAGAACATGAAGCACCTGCGAAACAATTACTTATGCAAGTGCCTGTATTACTTAAATAAAATCCACTTGAGCATGTAGTGCAAGCTGTTAGAGATGTGCATGAAGTACAATAGTGAGAACATGATTAAATTAACCTAAATTTACTATTAAATTTGCTACTTTGATAATAATTTAACTGAAAAGTTTAAAGTGAAATGTTGTTTTTGTCTGATAAATAGGTCTAGAGTCTATTTAAAAAATTAAATGTGCAAATTCCATTTTTATTAAGATAATATCCATCTTAACATATTTTACAATTCGTTTGAGTGAAACATTTTTTACAATTTAAAGGACATTTTTCACATACCCCATTTAAATTAACATATGAAATATTGCAAATACATTTTTATCTATTATTTTTAAAAGTTAAGGTTCAAAATTTTAAAAAATAATTATTTTTTTATACACTTTAATTTAAAGGTTGAAGGTATATATAATTTTTTTTAAGTATATTTATTCTTGTTAATTATTAATTTATGAATATATCAAATTTAAAAAATAAATTTACTCTTGCAAAGTGCTATTAGGTTGGCAAACACATTTATTTTAAGTAGTATCTAAAACAAAAGTTATTGGACAAACCAAACCAAACAATTTATTTGAAATCAAATATAGAGGAGATTTAATTATTGTACAGAAATTAAAAGTAATAAACATATTATCCTAAATCTCACATAGATTTAAATCCTAAAATATATTTATAAAAACATTTTATTTAATTTGAATTAGTAAATAAGTAATAAGCTTTGTTCTATATCAAATAGAAATTATGAAAATCTTAAATATAATAACTAATAAAAGCTATTAATATATTTGTAAAAGATAAAAAGTAAATAAAATTATTTTTTAAAATTACAAATTCTTCAGCTAAATATTTCAAATTTTATTAATTAAAATGATAAGGATATATAGAGACATTTTCAGAGATTAGTGTGATAATAACAATATTAGACTCACAATCATATGACAATTTATATTAAAACTAATTAATATAAATGATATCCTAATTTTAATTAAAAATTTAAGAATGAGTTGTTATGGTTTAAATATTTTAGTTTTACATCTACTTACACAATAGTAAGATATTCAGCATTCTGAATATATATTGGAGTAAATTATACCTAATATAATTCTTAAACACTATAAAATGTAAAGATTCTTCTCTCATACTCGAACGTAAATATCAAAATTATCTTTTTTAAAAATTTTAGTCATTAGTATAAAAAACTTTTTAATTTTTTTGTAATCCAAATAATAATTACTTAAGGAAATTCTATCACATCAGAAATAAAAATTCTATTCTTAAAAGATAAATTTAATTTAACTTTAGTAGTATCATCTAAAAGTCCTTCTTTATAAGTGATCACCTTAAGTAAATAATCATCGTTTATGAATACATTGTATTTACTCTATTAAAAAAATAGAATCTTAAATAAATATTTGAAAATCTATGTTAAAGAAAAAAAAATAAAATATCTTTTTATTTTTAATGAAAGTCTTATTTAATTAATATTCTTATTTAAAAGTAATGAAACCAATTGTGGAGAAAAAAATTCTTATTGAATTTTATTAAATAAATTGGATATTTATTTTATCACTTTAATCAAAAACAAATTTGTATCAAAAACTTTTTTAGTTTACTACTTTTATTAATTGATCACCAATTTACTTTTATTTAAAAATGTATTTAGATCGATTTATTATTTAGTTTTTTGTCTCCGAAATAGTTTTTGTATATCTAATTTGAAGGGGAAAAAATATATTACATTAATTAAATAGTCTTTGCTTTCTAAGATTGAAGAGTGTAATTTATAAGACTGATTTCCATAAAATAAAAGATCATTATCTAATTAAATAAAATTATGCCCAAAGCTAATATTTTCACCATAAAAGATTATTGGTTAATTTAATAATTCTTCAAAGCTTAAGCCCTTTAATAAAAATCTATTTTTTTTATCTAGGCATGCGTAAAAGAATATGTTTTCCTATTTATTAATTTTAAATAAATATTTATCAAAAAATAATTTTGAATAAAAATCAATTTATGAAATTACAATAGCCTTTAAGATCTTTTTTTTGCAATCCTAATAAATATTAGAGGAAATATTATATGTGATTATTTATAAATTAGAGCTTTTAGATTTATATTCTAAATCAATCGTTTAATATTAATTATTCTTATTGATTAAGTAAAGAGTAGTCTATTGTTAATAAGTAATAATTAAAATTTGGGTTAATATGAATAAAATTTACATTTATAACAAAATTATCTAAATGAGAATCTATGTTAAAAGATCCCTATATTTTGTATGTATCAGTTATAATTCCCTACTTGTCTAATGAGCTATATTTAAATTCCACATTATTTACTTCTTAGTAAATTATGGAATTAGCTTACTTATTTATAAAAAAAAAAAGTGTAATGAATAATAAATAAAATATTTATTTTTGAGAAATTTACCTTTATATATAAGATTTTGTTCATAATTTATTATGGTAGAATATCAGAGCATAAAATAAAGATTAAGTAGCTAGCGAAAATAAAAAATACTTTTTTACACATAGCATATTTGAATAGTGCTCTTTTAATAGGAAAATCAATCTTTTATTTTACTTTATTTTATTCAAATTTTATAATACTTATTTATCTATGAATATTATTAAAAACTCGAATTTTTGTTTACATTATTTGTTATGTAATTAACTTAATTAATATCTTCTAATTACAGAATTATTTTTGATTGAAATTAATTTAATAAATACTCACCATAAATTTTAATAAACAATCAATGTATATGTAATAAAGCTGGATATTTCTTTTCAATTCATAATATTTTAATTTTATTAATAAAATATTCAAATAATTAATTATCAACTTATTTTACAAGATAATTATTTAATTAGATAAAAATATTTTAATTTATTTATAAATTTACCAATTAATTTCTTGATACTACTATTTTCTTTAAAATGTTAATTGCTGTTTAAATATTTATATAATTATATATCTTATAACTTTATTGCATATGATTTTAAAAAAATTATTTTAGCAATTATAATTATTGAAATTTTATAAAATATTTGAGGTAAATTTATTTATTTATTTATCTTACAAACAGATATGAAGGCCATAAGGCAAATAAAATAAATTAAAATAAAATTTGTAATATATTTGAGGTAAAGTAGCAAAGTAAATAAATAAATATTATTAGTAAATAATTTAATTTAGCAATAAAAAAATATTCATCTTAGGTCATTTTAAATTTGAATTTTTTAACAAAAGATTTATTTTATTCACCAAATAAAAAATTGAATTCGTATTTTATTTTAATTTTTATCAATTATTAAAAGCTTCTCTAAATATTTTTCAAATAATTTAATTATTTTTAGAATTTGGTGGGAAAATTTAAACTCAGTTAACATCTATCTACTTAATAATTTAAATATTAATATCTTTTAGGAATCGTAAAAAATATTTTTCCGAAATCTACTATAAGAATTTAAAGCTTAAAAGAGATAGATAAAGAAAATGGAATAAAATAACATAAATATAATAAATAAAATCGAGTTAGTGATGACACATTCTATTTTATGTTAAAAAATCAATTTAATTTTAAAATTTATTTATCTAATTATATTTATAAAAAACAACATTCTTTGATAAATATTTGATTTAAAAATAAGTTATTGTTCAAAGTAAACAAAATAGGATTATCGCTTATAAAAACTATCATTTTTTGACTCAAAAATATCTTTATTTATTCTTAAAATATTATTTCCATATTATCCAAAAAAAATATATTTTACTTCTACAATCGAATAAATTTCTTAAGAAATGTAAAAATATAGTAAACCTGGTTAATATTTAAATATATTAAAAAATTAAAAAGAGTTTTTTTTAAAAAAAGGCTTGATACAAAATATTTATTTACAAAAAAAAATATTTTTTTTAAATAATATTCATTATTATATATTTAGTATTCAAAATTAAGCTAATAAGTTATTTTAAAAAATAATGCTTGGTCACTTTCTCTTTTTTTTTCTAGACCAGTAGTTTACTTTCACTAAGTTTTTGAAATTCTCTTGATGCATCATTTCTATATCATAGTAGTTCATAAGTTTTTGTTTGATAACTGATAACCCACCTCCATGAGCTAATAATAAATTCATACTCTAATTCAAATGTTCTGTTTCTTTTTATTGTTTTTTTTAATTTATTTTTTATTTTACAAGTGTAAATAACTATACTAATATAGCTAAAATCATGTAAATAGGTTGCTCTACTAAAATTATGAGAACTACCACTATAAATATTTAGCTTACTGTATCAATTTGGTTTGCGTAGTTATCTAAGTCTGGTTTTGTAGAGTATATATTTAATAACAAATATAGAATGTAAAGAAAAAGCCAAGAACAATACTAAACAATAAAGTAGGCGTTAGTTAGTTTAGAGTAAAATGGCAAATAGTATGTCACTATTATTAGCTGACTCAAAGATACAATTATTGATATTATACACACAGCAAGCCAGTGCTAACTCAATTAAATAAAGTATGTTGGAATGATAAATGACTCAAATAATAATACAATTAGAATAAAATTTCGAGTTGGTTTTAGTTCTTCCTTTGTTTCAATCTATAATTTCTATTTAACAATCATGTTAAATTATTATTTTTACAAAGAAGGTTTGTTAAGGTAAATGTAAAATGTGTAAAATGTTCCAACACTAATTCCAAACAAAGTAATAATCAAAGGAATTTCAAAGATTAGTTTTTAAGCATTAAAATTTTTTATATATTGCTTTACTTAAGTATTGACTCCTATAATAAATATAGTCATTGTTAGCTAAAGGTACTGAATAATAAATGAGCAGAATATCATTTCATAAATTTTAATTGTTTTAGATTTTATATTTTGGTTTTAAATTTTAACGCTTAGAAAGTAAAATATAATAAATGAGAATAGGCATATTAAAAATATGACCAAAGCTTATCCACAAGTAGCTAAAGCGAAATAAGCTAATCCTACTGATTCAAATTTTGAATCATAATATTATATTTCTCTCGAATCTATAAACAATAAAAATAAGTTCAGCTATTTAAATGATTGAGATGGAAGTTAGCCTAATATTTTATTTTATTAAAAAACTTTTAAAAATGTTTAATATTTGTTTTTACCTTTTAAAGAATTAATTAACTGAAATATATGAGCAGGAAAGTTTGTTTTGACTAAAATGAGATAGCTTAATCTTTGAAATGTTAATCCACTCTATGAGACTCCAAAACTTGAGCTTGACATAACATTTAAAGCAGCACTTAATCCAATAGAACCATAAGAAGAAATTTATTATTCTGTTTAAGTTATTTATTTTATTAATTGAATTTTTTGTTTAGTAAATACTGTAGAATTATATGTTTGGTATTATTATAAGCAAGTAGAATCTTTTAGAATAAATCCATCAAAACAAGATGTACATTATTTATTATTAACAACAGAACATGTTTGACAGTTAGAATCGCATGGAATACAGATGCCACTTTATAAAAAAAATTAGTTATAAACAATTATTTATATTAAATATATTAGTTAGAAATTAAAATTGATTTTTTTAAATAAATTTTACTTGATTAAATTACTACTGGTTAGGCAAACACATTTTCTATTAAAAGGATTCTGAATAAATGAAGTAGGGCATGACGAAGAACAAGAAGCATTAATAGTTAGATAGTATCCAATTATACAAGTTACACAAACTGTTTATGAAGAGCATTTTTCACATTGAGAAGAGCAAGGTTGACATACATCATTCAGATCTATATATCCTGATGATATACAAGGACATACTTAACTAAATATATTTAATTAATTAAGGAATTTAATTTTTAGTTTATTTTAAATAGTGAAAATTTGATAAATTACTTTTATAAGGTACTATTAGGGCGACAAATACATTTAGTATTCGTTGAATCTTTGACAAATGTAGTAGGACACTATGAAACACAGGTATTATCTATTGTTAAGTAAAATCCAGAGGTACAAACTTTACAAGCTGTTTATGAAGAGCATTAATCACAATTAGATGGGCACTATTAACAAACACCTAAAACATCTAAATATTAAATGTTACAAGGACAAGTTTAACTAAATTAAAATAAATAAATCATTTTAGATATTATTATAATAAAATATTCTTACTTTTAAAGAGAGCTATTACTACGGCAGATACATTTCGTATTAGTAGAATCCACAGTGAATGTAGAAGGGCAATTAGAAACACAAGTTCCATCTATAAACAAGAAATACCCTTTAGAGCATGCAGTGCATGTTGTTTATGTAGAACATTGATCACAATTTGATCCACATTGTAAGCAATTACCTCCTAAATCTATATAACCAGTATTGCAAGGACATGTATTTCTATTTAAAAAAATTTTTTTAATTTAAGTTATTTATTTAATAAAGTTAAAAATATTTTATCAGAATTATGAAATTAAATTTTACATTTTTTATTAAAATTAATTTTTAAAAATTACAAATTTAATTTAATTAAAATGATAAAAAGTTATTAAAAAAAATGATTTTTTATTATATTAACTTTTTTTTTTAATTTTAAATTTTAAGCTTCTTTAATTTATAATTTATTTTAAATGAAGAAATTTGATAAATTACTTTTATAACGTACTATAAGGGCGACAAATACATTTAGTATTTGTTTAATCTTTGACAAATGGAGTAGGACAGTATGAAACGCAGGTGTTATCTATTGCTAAGTAAAATCCAGAGGAACAAACTTTACAAACTAATTATGAAGAACATTAATCACAATTAGATGGGCACTATTAGCAGATACCTAAAACATCTAAATATTAAACGTTACATGGACAAGTTTAAGTTTTGCTAAATTAAAATAAATAAATAAATTTACACATATTAAAATAAAATTATCTTACTTTTAAAGAGAACTATTACTACGGCAGATACATTTTGTATTAGTAGAATCTATAGTAAAAGTGGGTGGACATTTAGAAACACAAGAACCATCTATAAATAAGAAATATCCTTAAGAACATGTAGTGCAAGTTGATTATGTTGAACATTGATCACAATTTGATCCACAGGGTAAGCAATCACCTCCTAAATCTATGTAGCCAGTATTACAAGGACATACATTTCTATATAAAAATATTTATTTTTAGGTTTTAGTTATTTATTTGATAAATTAAATATTTATTATACCAAATTAAATTATAAAATTTAATTTTTAATTTAATTAAAATAATAAAAAGTATTATTATATCTTGTTTTTTGAAATAATTTTTTTATTTGAACTATTAAGCTTTTCAATTATATTTGATAATTTTAATTGAGAGTTAATAAAAGTATTTTTTTAGTAAATTAATTAATTATTTTACGCTGACAATGTACTATTAACACGACAAGTACATGATTAGTTAGATTTATCAATTACAAAAGTAGGTGGACACGGATTAACACAAGTTCCATCTGGAAATAAGTAATATCCTGAGGTACATACCTTACAGATTTTTTATGAGGCGCAATTAAGACAATTTGCAGTACATGCTAAACAACTACCTGCAACATCAATATAACCATTATTGCAAGCACATAAATTTCTATATAAAATATATAATAATAATTGGGCTATTAATTTAGATTTGGAAATAAATGCTTGTTAAACTTTTTAACACTTTATTTTAATTTTATTTTATATTAAAGATTTGAATTAATGACTCATTAATTTATCAAATAAATAAAATTAATTTATATTAAATTTAAAAAATTTTTAAATATTTGTTGAGATTTATATTTTAAAACAAACTAAAAAAAAAATGTATATGTTATCTTTTGAAATATAAATTTGAGAAAAATCAAATAGAATTAGTTACCCTGGCGAAATGGAGCTATTAGGACGACAATCACAAGATTAAGTTGAATCATTAGAAACAAATGTAGTAGGACATGAAGCAACACAAGTACCATCAATAAATAAGTAATATTTTGACTAACAAGTAGTGCATTATGTTTAAGATGAACATATATCGCAATTTATAGGACATGATACACAATCACCTGCTATATCCACAAAACCTGTGTTACAAAGGCATTGCTTTCTTTATAAGTTTAAAATTTAATTCAAAAATTTTTTTTAATATGATTGTAATATTTAAAATATTAAAAATTATGGTTAAAAAATTAATAAATACAAATAAAATAAATCAAATTTTAAAATATTTATTTGCACTTATTTTTAAAATAAACCAAAAAAAAATAAATTTATTTATTATTTTTGTAGAATAAATTTTGAAAAATAAATTAGAATTTCTTACTTTGGTGATATGGAGCTATTAGGTCGACAAACGCAAGATTAAGTTGAATCGTTAGAAATAAATGTAGTAGGACATGAAGAGATACAAGTACCATCAATAAATAAGTAATATTTTTCCTAACAAGTAGTGCATTATGTTTAAGAGGAGCATATATTGCAATTTGCAGGACATGGAACGCAATTACCTCCTAGATCTATAAAACCTGTGTTACAAAGACATTACTTTCTTTATAAAATTAAAAATTTAATTCAAATATTTAATTTAATTTGATCATAATATTTAAAATATTAAATATTGTGGTTAAAATTTTTAAATATTTGTTGACATTAATATTTTATAACAAACTAAAAAAAAATAAATGTATATGTTGTTTTTCTTTTGAAATATAAGAAAAATCTAATAGAATTTGTTACCCTGGCGATAAGGAGCTATTAGGACGACAATCACAAGATTAAGTTGAATCATTAGAAACAAATGTAGTAGGACATGAAGAAACACAAGTACCATCAATAAATAAGTAATATTTTGACTAACAAGTAGTGCATTATGTTTATGATAAACATATATCGCAATTTATAGGACATGATACACAATCACCTGCTATATCTACAAAACCTGTGTTACAAAGGCATTGCTTTCTTTATAAGTTGAAAATTTAATTCAAATATTTTTTTTAATCTGATTTTAGCATTTAAAATATTAAAAATGTTGGTTTAAAAATGAATTAATTTATAAATACTAATAAAATAAATCAAATTTTTAAATATTTATTAGCGCTTATTTATTTTTTAAAATTAACTAAAAAAAAATAAATTTATTTATTATTTTTGTAGAATATATTTTGAAAAATAAATTAGAATTTCTTACTTTGGTGATATGGAGCTATTAGTTCGACAAACACAAGATTAAGTTGAATCGTTAGAAATAAATGTAGAAGGACATGAAGAGACACAAGTGCCATCAATAAATAAGTAATATTTTTCCTAACAAGTAGTGCATTATGTTTCCGAGGAGCATGTATCGCAATTTGAAGGACATGGTACACAATTAACTCCTTCATCTATAAAACCTGTGTTACAAAGACATTACTTTCTTTATAAAATTAAAAATTTAATTCAAATATTTTATTTAATTTGATAATAAAATTTAAAATGTTAAAACTAACTAAAAAAAAAATAAATTTATCAGTTGTTTTTCTTTAGAAATATAAATTTGAGAAAAATTAAATAGAATTTGTTACTTTGGTGATATGGAGCTATTAGGACGACAATCACAAGATTAAGTTGAATCATTAGAAACAAATGTAGTAGGACATGAAGAAACACAAGTGCCATCAATAAATTAGTAATATTTTTCCTAACAACAATTACTTCCTAGATCTACAAAACCTGTGTTACAAAGACATTTATTTCTTTATAAATTAAAAATTTAATTAAAATATTTTACTTAATTTGATTTATATATATAAAATGCTAAAGATTGTGGTTTAAAAGTTAATTAATAAATATAAATAAATATGTTAAATTATATTTTAAAAATTTTAAAATATTTTTGACACTTATATTTTAAAACAAACTAAAAAAAAAATAAATATATCTGTTGTTTTTTTTGAAATATAAATTTGAGAAAAATCAAATAGAATTTATTACTCTGGTGATATGGAGCTATTAGAACGGCAAACACAAGATTAAGTTGAATCGTTAGAAATAAATGTAGTAGGACATGAAGAAACACAAGAACCATCAATAAATAAGTAATAATTTTTCTAACAAGTAGTGCATTATGTTTAAGAGGAGCATATATTACAATTTGTAGGACATGTCATGCAATTACCTCCTATATCTACAAAGCCTGTGTTACAAAGACATTTATTGCTTTATAAAATTGAATTTAATTAAAATATTAAGGATTAATGTTTAAAAATTAATTAATTAACAAATAAAAATAAATTAAATCAGATTTTTTAAATTTTTAAATGAATGATGAAACTTATTTTTTAATTTAAACTAATAAAAAAATAAATTTATTTGAAATTATTTTTATTAAAGTATTTATTAATTTGAGTAAAATCAATTAGAATTTCTTACGATGGTTATATAGAGCTATTAGGACGACAATCACAAGATTAAGTTGAATCGTTAGAAACAAATGTAGTAGGACATGAAGAAACACAAGAACCATCAGTAAATAAATACTATTTTGACTAACAAGTAGTGCATTATGTTTAAGAGGAGCATATATTACAATTTTTAGGACATGGTAAGCAATCACCTCCTATATCTACAAAGCCGGTGTTACAAAGACATTTATTGCTTTATAAAATTGAATTAAATTAAAATATTTTGTTTAATTTAATATTCAAAATATTAAGAATATCGGTTTAAGAATTAACTAATAAAAGTAACTTAAATCAGATTTAAAAAATTTTTTAATGCATTTTGAAACTTATTTTTTAATTTAAACTAATAAAAAAAATAAATTTATATGCCATTCTTCTTATTAAAGTATAAATTTGAGAAAAATCAATTAGAATTTCTTACGATGGTTATATGGAGCTATTAGGACGACAAGTACATGATTAAGTTGAATCGTTAGAAACAAATGTAGTAGGACATGAAGAAACACAAGAACCATCAATAAATAAATACTATTTTGACAGACAAGTAGTGCATTATGTTTAAGAGGAGCATATATTACAATTTTTAGGACATGGTACACAATTAACTCCATCATCTATAAAACCTGAGTCACAAAAGCATTGATTTCTTTATAAAATAAAAAATTTAATTCAAATATTTTATTTAATTTGTTTATAATATTTAAAATATTAAACCTATTTTTGTTTCAAAAATTATTTTTTATTTATTTTTGATTGAATAAAAAACCAAAAAAGTTCAATGAAAATCTTTTATTTAAAAAAAAACATATCAAAACTTATTACTAAAATAAAAAACTATTAGGACGGCATTAACAACTTTAATTTTAAGTGTTTTTTATAAACGTATCTGGACAAGAAGAAACGCAAGTTCCGTCTACTATAGAAAGAAATCCTGTTGATGAGCAAATGGTGCAAGTTACACCTACAGATAGTAAACTGCAATTAGATGGGCATGGTTATACTACTCCATTGAGATCTATATATGATCCCGAATTACATGTGGCTTTTGCTCCTAATGAGGTGCAAGCATATGGTTAATTAAGGCAAGGGCATGTAGAATCTTAAAAACATTTATTTAAACAATTCAATAAACCATTCATATAAAATCCGCCCATACATAAAGTGCAAACTGTAGGAGATGAGCAAAAAAGACAAAATTGAGAACAAGATTAAATTAACCTAAACTTACTTTTTAAATTGGTACTTTGATAATAACTTAACTGATAATTTTAAAGCGAAATGTTGCTTTTCTCCAATTATTTCTAGAGCCTAATTGAAGAATTAAATGTGCAAACTCCATTTTTATCAAGATAATATCCATATTTACATATTTTACAATTAGTTTTAGTTATGCATTTATAACAATTTAAGGGACATTTTTCACATACTCCATTTAAATTAACATATGAAACATCGCAAACACACCTTTAGCTATTATTTATAAAAATTAATATAAAATAAAATATTTGTATTAAATTTTTTTATTTATTTAAGGTTATATTAGTTATGTTATTTGTTAGTATATAAATATATAAAATTAAAAAAAATAAATTTAAATTTACTCTTGCAAAGTGCTATTAGGTTGGCAAACACATTTGTTTTAAGAGGCATCAAAAACAAAAGTTACTGGGCAAACCAAACCAAACAATTTGTTTGAAATCAAATATAGAGGAGATTTAATAATTGTACAGAAATTAAAAGTAATAAACATATTATCCTAAATCTCGCATAAACTTAAATCCTAAAATATATTGATTAAAATATTTTATTTAAAGTTAATTAATAAATAAAAATAAGATTTCTTGAATACTAAATAGAAATAATTAAAATCTTAAATTTAATAACATAGTAAAGCTTAAATAAGTAAAATATAATTATTATAGTTGTAAAAGATAAAAATTAAAAGTCAAATAAAATTATTTTTAAGAATTACAAATTCTTAAGCAAAATAGTTCAATTTTTATTAATTAAAATGATAAGGATATATCTAGACACTTTCAGAAATTAGTGTGATAACAACGATATTAGACTCATAATCGTATGTCAATTTATATTAAAACTAATCAATATAAATTATATCCTAATTTTAATAAAAGTTTTAAGAAAAAATTATTAAGGTTTAAATATTTTAGCAATACATCAACTTATACAATAGAAAGATATTCAGTATCCGGAATATAAATAGGAGTAGATTATACCTAAAATAACTCTTAAACACTATAAAATGTAAAGATTTTTCTCTCATACTCGAACGTAAATATCAAAATTATCTTTTTATAATAATAAGAATAAAAGATTTTTTAATTTTTGTTTATAATTTAAATAATAATTACTTATGGCAATTCTATAACATCCGAAATAAAAATTTTATTCTTAAAAGATACATTTAATTTTACTTAAGTAATAACATCCAAAATTCCTTCATGATAAGTGATCACCTTAAGTAAAGAATCATTGCTTATGAATAAATTTTATTTACTCTAATAAAAAAATAGAATCTTATTTAATAATTATTACAAAAATCAATGATAAAGAACAAAAATATCTTTTAATATTTAATGAAAGTCTTATTTATTGATATTATCATTTAAAAGTAATGAAATCTATAGTTGGCAATAAATTACTTATTCACCATAATTTATATATTAGATATTTTTTTATCAATGTAATGACCAAAATTTTCTTTAGGTTACAGATTTTTTTAATTAATTACATATTTACTTTTTATTAAAAATTTATATCAATTTATTTTTTAATTTTTTTGTCTCCTTAATAGTTTCTATTTTTCTAATTTAAAGGGGAAAAAATAGATTACGTTAATTAAATAGTCTTTGTCTTCTAAGATTGAAAAGTGTAATTTATTTTTCTGATTTCCATTCAAAAATAAATTATTATCTAATTAAATAAAATTATGCCCAAAACCAATATTTTCACCATAAAAGCTTATTGGTGAATTTAACAATTCTTCTAAGCTTAAGCCCTTTAATAAAAACCTACTTTCTATATCTAAGCATACATAAAAGAATACATTTTCCTATTTATTCATATGAAATAAATATTTATCAAAAAATAATTATTTAAAACTTTAAAAAAAAAAATATTTTGGTTATTTTATTTTTAAAAATAATTTTTAAATTATAATTAATTAATTACTATAGCCTTTACAATATTTTTTTTGCAATTGGATACTTCCTAATAGATCTAAGAGGAAAAATTATGTGTGATTACCTATAAATTAGAGCTTTTAGCTTTATATTCTAAATCAATTGTTTAATATTAGTTATTCTTATTTATTAAGTAAATAGTTGTCTTTTGTTAATTAAAAATAAATTTTAAACAATTCTATAATAAGCAATAAGTAGAATGAATAAAATTTACATTTATAACAAAATTATCTAAATGAGAATCTATGCTAATAGATCCAAATATTTTTTATGTATCAGTTATTATTCCCTACTTATCTAATGAACTATATTTAAATTCCATATTATTTTCTTCTTAGTAAATTATGGAATTAGTTTCCTTATTTGAAAAAAAAAAAGTGTAATGAATATTAAATAAAATATTTATTTTTGAAAAAATTTACCTTAATATATAAGATTTTGTTCATAATTTATTTTGGCAGAATATCTGCACATAAAATAAAGCTTAAATAGCTAGCATATATTAAAAATATTTTTTTATGCATAGCTTATTTGTATAAGGCTCTATATTTTTTAAAAGAAAAATCAATCTATTATTTTACTTTTTTTATTTAAATTTGTAAGATTTATTTATCAATAAATATTATTAAGAATTCGAATTTTTGTTTTCATTATTTTAATGTAATTAATTTAATTAATATTTTCTAATTGCTGCATTATATTTGATTGAAATTAATTAATAAATGTCTTCATAAATTTGTATTAACCATAAAATAATAAAATAGGAAATTTCTTTAAATTTAACAATTTTAATTTTATTAATAAAAATATTCAAATCATTATTAATTAATTTATTTATTTAGGATAATTATTTAGATAGATGAAAAAATGTTTTTTTATAAAATATAAAAATTAACATCATTACACTATAATTTTTATAAAATGATGTTTAAGTCATTTATTTTATTATTTATCTAATAGTTTTATTTGATATGCTTTAAAAAATTATTTATCTAATATATCTATTTGGTATAAAATACTTGAGTGAGATAAAGTAAAAACTAATAAATAAATATTATTAGTAAGTAATTTAATTTAGAACTAAAAAAATATTTATGTTTTAAGTCATATTAAATTTTAATTTATAAGAAAATGTTTATTTTATTCACAAAATAAAAAACTGAATTAATATTTCTATCAATTGTTTAATTATCTAAATATTTTTCTAATAATTTAATTATATTTAGAATTTAGAGTGAAAATTTAAACTAATTTAGCATCTATTTATTTAATAAATTACAGAATTAATATCTTTAAAATTAATTATCAATATTCTAGAAATTCTATTATATATAGGGTTGGAAAAAAAATTAGGGTTGTAATACTTTTTTTTAAGGACAACTTGAATAAATTGATTATATAAATTGTAAAAATTGATAAATAATATTTTTGAATTAATACCCATATAACGCATACTAACCATATAAATATAATAAATTATATCGAGTTAGTGTATGACTCATTTTATTTTATTTTAAAATATCATTTTAATTTTAAAATTTATTTATCTAATTATATTGATAATAAACACTATAGGATTCTCACTTAAAAAAACTATTATTTTTTAACTCAAAAATATTTTTATTTATTTATTAATTCTTAAAATATTATTTCCATATTATCCAAAAAAAAGATATTTAATTTCTTCAATCAAATAAATTTGTTTAGAAATGTAAAATTATAGTAAACATGGTTATATTTAAATATATTAAAAATTTAAATAGAATTTTTTTTTTAAAAAGACTTGATATAAAATAAAATTCATTAAAAGAAAATAAATATTAAAAATTAATCTAATAAGTTATTTTATACAATAATTCTTGATCACTTTCTCCTTTTTTTTCTAGACCAGTAGTTTATTTTCACTAAGTTTTTGAAATTCTCTTGATGCATCATTTCTATATCATAATAGTTCATAATTCTTTTTTTGACAACTGATAACCCACCTCCATTAGCTAATAAAAAATTCATACTCTAATTCAAATCTTCCATTTCTTTTTGTTGTTTTTTTTGGTTTATTTTTTATTTTATTATTGTAAATAACTGCACTAATAAAGCTAAAATCATGTAAATAGGTTACTCTACTAAAATTATTTGAACTACAACTATAAATATTTAGCTTACTGTATCAATTTAGTTTGCATAGTTATTTAAGTCTGGTTTTGTACAGAATATATTTAATAACAAATATAGAAAGTAAAGAAATAGCCAAGAACAATACTAAACTATGAAGTAAGCATTAGTTAGCTTAGAGTAAAATGGCATATAGTATATCACTATTATTAGTTGACTCAAAGATACAACTATTGATATTATACACACAGCAAGCCAGTGCTAACTCAATTAAATAAAATATGTTGGAATGATAAATGACTCAAACAGTAATACTATTAGAATAAAATTTCTTGTTAGTTTTAGCTCTTCCTTTGTTTCATTCTATAATTTCTATTTAACAATCATGTTAAATTATTATTTTTACAAAGAAACTTTGTTAAGGTAAATGTAAAATGAGTAAAATGTTCCAACACTAATTCCAAACAAAGTAATAATCAAAGGAATTTCGATGATTAGTTTTTTAGCATTAAAATTTTTTATATATTACTTTATTTAAGTATTGATTCCTATAATAAATATAGTCACTATTAGCTAAAAGTACTGAATAATAAATGAACAGAATATTATTTCGTAAACTTTAATTGATTTAGATTTTATATTTTGGTTTTAAATTTTAACGCTTAGAAAGTAAAATATAATAAATGAGAATAGGCATATTAAAAATAGGACCAAAGCTTATCCACAAGTAGCTATTGTGAAATAAGCTAATTCTACAGATTCAAATTTTGCATCATAATACTATATTTCTCTTGAATCTAAAAACAACAAAAATAAATTCAGCTACTTAAATGATTAAGATGGAAGCTAACCTAATATTTTATTTTATTAAAAAACTTTTAAAAATGTTTTATATTTGTTTTTACCTTTTAAAGAATTAATTAACTGAAATATATGAGCAGGAAAGTTTGTCTAGACTAAAATGAGATAACTTAATTTCTGAGATGTTAATCCACTCTATGAGACTCCAAAACTTGATGTTGACATAACATTTTAAGCAGCATTTAAGCCAATAGAACCATAAGAAGAAATTTACGATGTTGTTTAAGTTTATTATTGTATATATTTTATTTTTTCATTAGTAAATACTGTAGAATTATATGTTTGGTATTATTATAAACAAGTGGAATCTTTTAGAATAAACCCATCAAAACAAGATATACATTATTAATTGTTAGCAGCAGAACATGTTAGACAATTAGAATCACATGGAATGCAAATACCACTTTATAAAAAAAAAATTTTCAACAAAAATTTTTATTAATATATTAAAAACAAATTTAAATTGATTTTTAAAAAATAAATTTTACTTAATTAAATTACTACTGATTGGACAAACACATTTTGTATTTGAAGGATCTTGAATAAATGAAGTAGGGCATGGCGAAGAACAAGTTGCATTAATAGTTAGATAGTATCCAGTTATACAAGATACACAAACTGTTTATGAAGAGCATTTGTCACATTGAGAAGAGCAAGGTTGACATACATCATTCAGGTCTATAAATCCTGATGATAAACAAGGACATACTTTACTAAATATATTTTATTAAATAATTAATGAATTTAATTTTTAGTTTATTTTAAATAATGAACTTTAATAAATTACTTTTATAAAGTACTATTAGGGCGACAAATACATTTAGTGTTCGTTGAATCTTTGACAAATGTAGTAGGACACGATGAAACACAGGTGTTATCTATTGTTAAGTAAAATCCAGAGGAACAAACTTTACAAACTGTTTATGAAGAGCATTAATCACAATTAGAAGGGCACTATTAGCAAACACCTAAAACATCTAAATATTAAACGTTACAAGGACAAGTTTAAGTTTTGCTAAATTAAAATAAATTCATCACTTTTTAAATATTAAAATAAAATTATCTTACTTTTATAGAGAACTATTACTACGACAGATACATTTTGTATTAGTAGAATCTACAGTAAATGTGGGTGGGCATTTAGAAACACAAGAACCATCTACAAACAATAAATATCCTATAGAACATGTAGTGCAAGTTGATTATGTTGAACATTGATCACAATTTGATCCACATGGTAAGCAATCACTTCCTAAATCTATGTAGCCAGTATTACAAGGACATGCATTTCTAAATAAAAATATTTATTTTTAAGTTTTAGTTATTTATTAGATAAAGTTAAATATTTTTGATATCAAATCAAATAATAAAAATTTTTTTTTTTATTAAAACAATAAAAGTTATATAATTTCATGTTTTTGAAATAATTTTTTTTCTTTGAACTATTAATATATTTTGATAATTTTAATTGAGAGTTAACAAAAATATTTTTTTTAATATGTTTAATAATTATTTTACGCTGATAATGTACTATTAACACGACAAGTACATGATTAGTTAGATTTATCAATTAAAAAAGTAGGTGGACACGGATTAACACAAGTTCCATCTGGAAATAAGTAATATCCTGAGGCACATACCTTACAGGTTTTTTATGAAGCGCAATTAAGGCAATTTGCAGTACATGCTAAACAACTGCCAGAAACATCAATATAACCAGTATTGCAAGCACATTAATTTCTATATAAAATAAATAATAAGAAAAGGGTTATTAATTTAAATTATTATTTTTTTCAAATTAAAAAATTTTTTTAATATTTGTTGAAATTTTTTTTTTAAAACAAACTAAAAAAAATAAATTTATCTACTGTTTTTCTTTTGAAATATAAATTTGAGAAAAATTAAATAGAATTTGTTACCCTGGTGATATGGAGCTATTAGGACGACAAACACAAGATTAAGTTGAATCATTAGAAACAAATGTAGTAGGACATGAAGAAACACAAGTACCATCAATAAATAAGTAATATTTTGACTAACAAGTGGTGCATTATGTTTAAGATGAGCATATATCGCAATTTATAGGACATGATACACAATCACCTGCTTTGTCTACAAAACCTGTGTTACAAGGGCATTGCTTTCTTTATAAGTTTAAAATTTAATTCAAAAAATTTTTTTAATTTTATTGTAATATTTAAAATATTATAAATTATGGTTAAAAAATTAATTAATTTATAAATAAAAATAATTTAAATTAAATTTTTAAATATTAATAAGCTTTTATTTTTTAAAATAAACCAAAAAAAAATTTATTTATTGTTATTATTTTTGCTGAATAAATTTGAGAAAAATCAATTAGAATTTCTTACTTTGGAGATATCGAGCTATTAGGTCGACAAACACAAGATTAAGTTGAATCATCAGATTTAAATGTAGTAGGACATGAAGAAACACAAGAACCATCAATAAATAAGTAATATTTTGACTAGCAAGTAGTGCATTATTTTTCAGAGGAGCATGTATCGCAATTTGTAGGACATGATATGCAATCACTACCTAGATCTACAAAACCATTGTTACAAAGACATTAATTTCTTTATAAAATAAAAAATTTAATTCAAATATTTTATTTAATTTGATAATGACATATAAAATATGAAAAATTGGCGCTTAAAAGTTAATTAATAAATATAAATAAATTAAATAATAATTAAAATTTTTTAATATACTTGTTAGCACTTATTTATTAATATAAACTAGTAAAAAAATAAATTTATCTGCTATTATTCTTTTTGAAGAATAAATTTGGGAAAAATCAATTAGAATTTCTTACTTTGGTGATATGGTGCTATCAGGTCGACAAACACAGGATTAAGTAGAATCATTAGATTTAAATGTAGTAGGACACGAAGAAACACAAGAACCATCAATAAATAAGTAATATTTTGACTAGCAAGTAGTACATTAATTTACCGAGGAGCATTTATTACAATTTTTAGGACATGATTCACATTTACCTCCTACATCAATAAAACCTGTGTTACAAATACATTTATTGCTTGATAAAATTGAAGTTAATTAAAATATTATGATTAATTTTAGTATATAATTTAAAATATTAAGGAATGCGGTTTAAGAATTAATATAAATAAATTAAATCAAATTAAAAATCTTTAAAATACTTATTGAAACTTATTTTTTAATTTAAACTCATAAAAAAATAAATTTATATTCTGCTATTCTTTTTAAAGAATAGATTTAAGAAAATCAAGTAGAATATCTTACGATGATTGTTTGGAGCTATTAGAAGGACAATCGCAAGATTAAGTTGAATCGTTAGAAATAAATGGAGAAGGACATGAAGAAACACAAGTACCATCAATAAATAAGTAGTATTTTGACTAACAAGTAGTGCATTATGTTTCAGAGGAGCAACTATTACAATTTGTAGGACATCTTACACAATCAACTCCTTTATCTCCAAAACCTGTGTTACAAAGGCATTACTTTCTTTATAAAATCGAATTTAATTAAATTATTTTGCTTAATTTGATTATAATATTTAAAACATTAAACCTAATTTTGTTTCAAAAATTATTTTGAATTAATTTTGGATAGAATAACAACCCAAATAAGGTTCAACGAAAATTTATTATTTAAAAAAAACTTATCAAAACTTGTTACCCAGATAAACTACTATTAGGACGGCACTCACAACTATTATTTGAAGTGTTCTTTATAAATGTACTTGGACATTCAAAAACACAAGTACCGTCTACTATATTAAGAAATCCATTTGTTGGTTAGCAAATGGTGCAAGTTACACCTGCAGGTAGTAAACTACAATTCGATGGGCATGATACTATTACTCCATTGTAATTTTTATATTATCCTGAATTGCAATAAACTGCGTTTATTCCAGTTTAGTCGCATAAATATGGTTATTTATTGCAATAGCATGAAGCATTCTAATAACATAAACTAATACAATAGTATAAACCATTTGGTTAATATCCATCTTAGCATTTAGTGCAGACTGTAGGAGATGAGCATTAAACACAATATTAAGAACAAGATTAAATTAACCTAAACTTACTTTTAAATTGGGTATTTTGATAATAACTTAACTGAGAATTTTAAAGCGAAATGTTAATTTTTTCCAATTACGTCTAGTGCGTAATTGAAAAATTAAATGTGCAAACCCCATTTTTATCAAGATAATATCCATATTTACATACTTTACAATTAGTTTTAGTTATGCATTTATAACAATTTAAGGGACATTTTTCACATAATCCATTTAAATTAACATATGAAATATTGCAAACACACTTTTAGCTATTATTTATAAAAATTAATAATAAATATATCTAACTTAAAAAAAAAATCGAGAAAAAAATTTTCTCAATTTATGAATTTACTAAATAAAAAAAAAATTAATTTATGTATATAAATTTTATTTTTTTTAAGGTTAACTCGCTATGTTATTTATTAGTATATAAGTATTCAAATTTAAAAAAAATAAATTTAAATATACTCTTGCAAAGTGCTATTAGGTTAGCAAACACATTTATTTTAAGTGGCATCTAAAACAAAAGTTACTGGACAAACCAAACCAAACAATTTGTTTGAAATCAAATATAGAGGAGATTTAATTATTGTACAGAAATTAAAAGTAATAAACATATTATCCTAAATCTCGCACAAACTTAAATCCTAAAATATATTGATTAAAACATTTTATTTAAAGTTAATTAATAAATAAAAAATAATATTTCTTCAATACTAAAAAGAAATAATTTAAATCTTAAATTTAATAACTTAATAAAGCCTAAATAAGTAAAATAAAATGATTATATTTATAAAAGATAAAAATTAAAAATTAAATAGAATTATTTTTAAGAATTACAAATTCTTAAGCAAAATAGTTCAATTTTTATTAATTAAAATGATAAGGATATATCGAGACACTTTCAGAAATTAGTGTGATAACAACGATGTTAGACTCATAATCATATGTTAATTTATATTAAAGCTAATTAATATAAATTATATCCTAGTTTTAATAAAAATTTTAAGAATTAATAATAAAGGTTTAAATATTTTAACAATACATCAACTTATACAATAGAAAGATATTCAGTATCTGGAATATAAATAGGAGTAGATTATACCTAAAATAATTGTTAAACACTATAAAATGTAAAGATTCTTCTCTTGTACTCGAACGTAAATATCAAAATTATCTATATTTATAATAATAAGAATAAAAGATTTTTTAATTTTTGTTAATAATTTAAATAATAATTACTTATGGCAATTCTATTACATCTGAAATAAAAATTTTATTCTTAAAAGATACATTTAATTTTACTTAAGTAATAGAATCCAAAAGTCCTTCTTTATAAGTGATCACCTTAAGTAAAGAATCATTGCTGATGAATAGATTTTATTTACTCTATTAAAAAATAGAAACTTATTTAATAATTATTACAAAAATCAATGATTAAGAACAAAAATATCTTTTTATATTTAATGTAAGTCTTATTTATTGATATTATCATTTAAAAATAATGAAATCAATAATCGAAAACAAATTACTTATTAATTATCAATATAATTACAAAAACTTTCTTTAGTTACAACTTTTTTTAATTAATTACTCACTAATTACTTTTTATTTATAATTTGTATCCATTTATTATTTAATTTATTATACCTAATAGTTTCTATTTTTTTAATTTTAAGGAAAAAAAAGATTACTTTAATTAAATAGTCTCTGCTTTCTAAGATTGAAGAGTGTAATTTATTGTTCTGATTTCCTTTCAAAAATAAATTATTATCTAATTAAATAAAATTATGCCCAAAGCTAATATTTTCACCATAAAATATTGTTTGTGAATTTAATAATTCGTCAAAGCTTAAGCCCTTTAATAAAAATCTATTTTCTTTATCTAAGCATGCGTAAAAGAACATATTTTCCTATTTATTCATTTTAAATAAATATTTATCAAAATTTAATTATTTAAATCTATTTTTTAAAAATATTTTGGTTATCTTATTTTATAATATAATTTTTAATGATAGTTAATTAATTAATGAAATTACTATAGCCTTTACAATATTTTTTTTGCAATTAGATACTTCCTAGTAGATATAAGAAGAAAAATTATGTGTGATTAGGTATAAATTAGAGCTTTTAGCTTTATATTCTAAATCAATTGTTTAATATTAGTTATTCTTATTTATTAAGTAAAGAGTAGTCTTTTATTTATAAAAAATAAATATAAAGCATAGGTAGATTAGATCTCTAAGAAAAACTTACATTTATAACAAAATTATCTAAATAAGAATCTATGTTAATAGATCCATATATTTTTTATGTATCAGATATTATTCCCTACTTATCCAATTAACTATATTTGAGTTCCATATTACTTTCTTCTTAGTAAATTATGGAATTAGTTTCCTTATTTGAAAAAAAAATGTGTAATGATTATTAAATAAGATATTTATTTTTAAGAAATTTACCTTTATATATATGATTTTGTTTCTAATTTACTTTGGCAGAATATCAGAACATAAAATAAAGCTTAAATAGCTAGCGTATATAAAAAATACTTTTTTATACATAGTATATTTGTATAATGCTCTATATTTATTTAATAGGAAAATCAATCTTTTATTTTACTTTACTTTATTCAAACTTATTAATATTTATTTATCTATGAAATATATTAAAAACTCGAATTTTTGTTTACATTATCTGTGGTGTAATTAACTTAATTAATATCTTCTAATTACTGCATTATTTTTGATTGAAATTAATTTAATAAATGTCCTCATAAATTTATATTAACCATAAATTATTATAAAGTAGGATATTTCTTTGAATTTAACAATTTTAATTTTATTAATAAAAATATTCAAATCATGATTAATTTACTTGTTTAATGATAATTATTTAGATAGATAAAAATATTTTAATGCTATATTATAAAATATACTAAATAATTTTATTCCACTATGAGTTTTATAAAATAAGAATTGATGTTTAAGTCATTTATTTTATTATACTGTAAATGCTCATTAACTAAGGCATTCCCTAAGTATCTTTTTTGCCCAAAAAAAAGTGCCATACACCATAATCGAAAAAAAAAAAATTTAAGAAAAAAATGCCTTAATTAATGAGCATTTACAGTATATCTAATTGTTTTATTTGATATGCATCTAAAAAATTATTTATCTAATATATCTATTTGGTATAAAATAAATACTTGATATTAAGTAAAAATTTAATAAATAAATATTACTATTTAATTTAAAGCTAAAAAAATATTTATGTTTTAAGTTATTTTAAATTGTATGTTATAAGAAAATGTTATTTTTAGTTAAATAAAAAATTAAATTAATATTTCTATTAATTGTTTAAAGCTTATCTAAATATTTTTCGAATAATTTAATTATATTTAGAATTTAGAGTGAAAATTTAAACTAAGTTAGAATCTATCTACTAAATAAATTGCAGTATTAATTACTTAAAAATGATAAGTGCTTAAAAAATACTTTTATATATATTAATTTAAAATATAAAATAATCATAATAGCAAAATAATTTTAGATTAATTAAAATCAAATTGTTATATACTCAAAATATAAGCAATAAAAAGAGGATGAGTCATTCATTTATTATTCCAACATTCCTAATAGTTTATCACCTTTTGAATTTATTTATATTTTTACTTTAGTATTTTAAACATTTCCTTCCTTCTTATAGTTCAAAATCCTTATGGCAGTAACATATATTCAAAAAAAATACTAAATATTTATAAACAGTATTATTTATAATTCAACTAAAATAACAATTTATATTCAAGGTTATTTAAATTACTCTAAATAAACTTTACATTTTTCAAAAATAAAAAGTATTTTTAATTTCAAAAATCATCAAGAAAATTTAAAGAATACATTTATTTAAAACTAAATTATTTATTTAGATGGAATAAAAATAAAATTTTTCTTTTTATTTTATGATATGATAAATTTTTATTTTAAAAAATTTACCAAATTTTATAATTATTTAATCTATTATAGTTAGTATTTTTTATATTAATTGCTATTTATTAATTAAATTTATAAATTTTTTAATTTAATTCAACTTTATATTATTATAAACCTCATTATATACTATTAGTATTTATACTTTACACATTAAATCATTAAAATTTGTTATTTGTTTAGTTATCCAATATTTTGTCTCAGTTATATTAAAAATTTAAAATTAAGCATCAATAAATATTCTATTTATTTTATAACTCATTTCTCCATCTTAATATCAGAAAAAAATTTATAAAAAACTAATAAGTACAAACACACAAATAAGAAATATAAATTTGTATATATTCTTCGAATTTCAAAGTCATTAAAAATGAAATTTAATAAAATGTATTTACTTTGTTATCTATATAAAATTATTTTCACTATTATTAAAGTATCAGAAATATTTAAAATTATGAACTCCAGATAAATTACTTCTTTTTTTTCTTGACCAATATTTAGTTTTTACAATATTATTAAACACTTTTGAATGCTTGATTTCAATATCATAATAATTTTCTATATTATTTTTCTAACACAAAATTCCTCCACCTTAAGCAAACATTAAATCTAAACTATCATAAAATTCTTCTATTTTTTTTTCTTCCTTTTTCTTAATGAACATTTATTTTATAGCAGTAAACAATTTTACTAATAAAGCTAAAACCATGTAAGCAGGTTACTCTACTAAAATTATTTGAATTGTTATTATAAAAATGTAGCTAATAATATCAATTTATCTAACATAATCATTCAAGTTTTAAGATGTGCAGTAGATGTTTAATAGTAAATATAAAACGTAAAGGAAAAACCATGAAAAGTACTAAACTATAAAGTAAGCATTAGTTAACTTAGATTAAAATGGCATATAATACACCACTATTGATAGCTGGCTTAAAGATACTAATATTGATATTATACATATAGTCAGCCATTCTTAACTTAGCTAGATAAAATATGTAGGAATGATAAATGACTCAAATAACAAAATTATTAGAATGAAATTCCTAGTTATTGTAAGCTCTTCCTTTGTTTCATTCTATAATTTCTATTTCACAATTTAAAAAAATTATTATTCTTGCAATGAAGCTCTATTTAGAAAAATGTAAAATCCGTAAAATATTCCTAAAGATATTCCAAGCATAATGATGACTAAAGGAATTTCAAATAGTAAATTTCCATAATTTAATTTACTTACATATTGTTTCATTTAGGAATTTATACCAATTATAAATACTGTCATAGTTAGCTAAAGGTACTCAATAATAAATGAGCAGAATACTATTTAATAAACTTTAATTGAATTTGTTTTTACACTTTAATTTTATATCTTAGCAATAAGGATATAAAAGAGAACAAAAAAAAATAGGCATATTAAGAATATAGTCAAGGCTTATCCACAAGTAAATAATATCTAATAAGCTAATCCAACAGATTCAAATTTTGCATCATGATATAAGATATTTCTGGAATCTATAAATTCCAAAAAAAAATTCAACTGCTTAAATGACTGAGAAGGTAATTCCCCTTATATTTAATTTATTTTTAAGATAAATAAAAAAATGTTTTTAATAATTTTTACCTTTTAAAGCATTTATTTACTAAAATATATGAACAGGGAAGTTTGTTTTAACTAAAATAAGATAGCTGAGCTTCTAAGAAGTTAATCCACTCTGTGAAATTCCGAAGCTTGAGCTTGAAAGCACATTTTAAGTAGCACTTAAGCCAATAGAACTAAAAGAAGATATTTCTGATACTTTTTGAGTCAATTCTGTTACTTAATCAATTTTTTCATTTGTAAAAATTGTTGATTTGAATAATTAATATTGTGGTAAACAAATATAATCTTTAAGAGTAAATCCATTAAAGCAAGATAAACATCGTTAACTATCATCAACAGAACATGTCAAGCAATTAGAATCGCATGGGATACAGATTCCACTATATCAAAAATTTTATTAAAAAATAATTAAATAAAAATATATATATATAAATTGAATATTATAAAACCAAAATGTGAAAAGGTATAAACAGAAAGACTCAAATTTGCTTTAGAAAAAATTTACTCAATTAAGTTACTATTGATTGGGCAGATGCACTTTGTATTAGTAGGATCTAATATATAAGAAGAAGGACATCGAGAAGAACAAGTCTAATTACTAGTTAAATAGTATCCTGATATACAAGTAGTGCAAATTGTTTATGAAGAGCACTTATCACAATATTTAGGACAGTTCAAACATTTATCATTAACATCTATAAACCCTGATTATATACAAGGACATTGTGTACTAATTTTTTTAATATTTTAAATTAATTAAATTTGTGCGATTAATTTTTAATTCCATAATTAAAATAAAAATTTACTTCTTTAAAGTGCTATTAGGACGACAAAGGCATTTAGTATTAGTTGAATCTTTGACAAATGTGTTAGGACACTAAAAAATACAAGTATTATCTATGTGTAAGTAAAATCCAGAGGAACACACTTAGCAAACCTTTTAAGATGAGCATTAATCACAGTTTTAAGGACATTTTTAGCAAACACCTGAAACATCTTAGTAACTTACATTGCAAGGACAGCTATTACTGATTTAATAATTTATTAATTTGCATTTGAAATCTAAATAATAATATAATTTTTTACTTTTAAAGAGAGCTATTTGTACGGCAAACACATTTTTATTGAGTAAAGTCTATGACAAAAGTAGGTAAACATTAAGTAATGCAAGTTGCATCAAAATTTAGCAAATAGCCTGGCTAACAAGTAAGACAAACTGCTTAAGAAGAGCATATATAGCAATTTGAAGAGCATGACTCACATTATCCATTTATTTCCACAAAACCAACATTACAAATGCACTTATTACTTAAGATGAAGAAATAAATTTTTGTAAAATTATAAAATTTTGGATTACTTTTACAAAGTACTATTAGCACGACATGTGCATTTTTGATTAGAGGAATCTACTAAGAATGTTTATGGGCATAGAGAAACGCAAGTAGAATCATTAAATAAGAAATAATTTGAGGAACAAATAGTACAAACTGATTATGAGGTACATTAATCACAATTTTATGAGCAGGATTAGCACACCCCATTAAAATCAAAAAATCCCGTGCTACATTAGCATTTATCACTTAATATAAATAATAGAAATAATAAATTTTGTATTTTATAAATGTAATAAAAATGTTCCCATCTTTAATCTGAGTTTACGTTATCATAAAGAACTAATTTAAATAGAATGTATTACTTTGTTAAAGTGCTATTTTATCGGCATACACATTATTTATTCACTGAATCTCCTATGAAAGTATCTGGGCATTAAGATACACAATTTTTATCAATATTTAAGTAATATGGTGATTAGCAAATAAGACAATTTGATTGAGAAGGGCATATTTCGCAATTTGGAGGACATTACAAGCATTCTCCATTTAATTCCACAAAACTACTGTTACAAATGCACTTGTTGCTTAAATAGGAAGAAATAAATTCTAGTAAAATTAAAAAATATAATATTACTTCTATAAAAAACTATTAGGTCGACAAACACATTTTCTATTAGAGGAATCTTCTAAAAATGTTTGTGTGCATGAAGAAACACAGGTTGAATCAATAAATAAGAAATGATTTGAGGAACAAAGAGTACAAACTGCTTATGAGGTACATTAATCACAATTTGATGTGCATGGTTAGCATACCCCTTTAAAATCAAAAAACCCTGTATTGCATGTACATTTATCACTAAATATATATAATAGGAATGTTAAAGTATTTTATAAATAGTAATAAAAATTTTCCAATCTTTAATATGAGTTTACTTTATCATAAACAAATAATTTAAATTGGATGTTTTACATTGTTAAAGTGCTGTTTTATCGGCATATGCATTATCTATTAACTGAATCTCCTATGAAAGTATCTGGGCATTAAGATACACACATTTTATCAACATTTAAGTAATATGATGATGAACAAGTAAGACAATTTGTTAGAGAAGGGCATATTTCACAATTTTGAGGACATTACAAGCATTCTCCATTTAATTCCACAAAACCACTGTTACAAATACACTTGTTGCTTAAATAGAAGATTTAAGTTATAATAAAATTAAAAAATATTAAATTACTCTTGCAAAAAGCTATTAGGTCTACAAACACATTTTTTTTAAGAGAAATTTTCTAAAAATGTTTGTGGGCATAAAGAAACACAGGTCGAATCAATAAATAAGAAATAATTTAATGAACAAAGAATACAAACTGATTATGAGGTGCATAAATCACAATTTGATGTGCAGGGTTAGCATACCCCATTAAAATCAAAAAATCCTTTATTGCACGTGCATTTATCACTAAATAAATATAAAAGGAATATTAAGTTTTTGTATTTTAGAAATGAAAATAAACATTTTAATATGAGTTTACTAAAGCTTAAAAAAAACCTCAATTTAATAGAATTTTTACTTTGCTAAAGTGCTGTTTTATCGGCATACGCATTATCTATTAACGGAATCTCCTATGAAAGTATCTCGGCATTAAGAAACACAATTTTTATCAATATTTAAGTAATATGGTGATGAACAAATAAGACAACTTGTTTGAGAAGGGCATATTTCGCAATTTGTAGGACATTACAAGCACTCTCCATTCTATTCTACAAAACCACTGTTACAAATGCACTTGTTGCTTAAATAGAAGAAATAAATACTAGCAAAATTAAAAAATATTAGATTACTTCTACAAAAAACTATTAGGTTGACAAACACATTTTCTATTAGAGGAATCTTCTAAAAATGTTTGCGGGCATGAAGAAACACAGGTTGAATCAATAAATAAGAAATGATTTGAGGAACAAAGAGTACAAACATCTTATGAGGTACATTAATCACAATTTGATGTGCATGGTTAGCATAACCCTTTAAAATCAAAAAACCCTGTATTGCATGTACATTTATCACTAAATATATATAATAGGAATATTTAGTTTTGTATTTTATAAATGATAATAAACATTTTAATATGAGTTTAATAAAGCTTAAAAAAAACCTCAATTTTAAATTTTAATAGAATTTTTTACTTTGTTAAAGTGCTATTTTATCGACATAGGCATTATCTATTAACAGAATCTCCTATAAAAGTATCTGGGCATTAAGATACACAACTTTTATCAACATTTAAGTAATATGATGATGAACAAGTAAGACAATTTGTTAGAGAAGCGCATATTTCACAATTTTGAGGACATTACAAGCATTCTCCATTTAATTCCAAAAAACCACTGTTACAAATGCACTTATTGCTTAAATAGAAGATTTAATTAATTGTAAAATTAAAAAATAAGAAGTTACTCCTATAAAAAACTATTAGGTCTACAAATACATTTTGTATTAGAAGAATCTACTAAAAATGTTTTTGGACATGAGGAAACACAGGTTGAATCAATAAATAAGTAATAATTTGATGAACAAAGTGTACAAGCTGATTATGAGGTACATTAATCACAATTTTATGAGCAAGAATCGCAATTACCATTAATATCAAAAAATCCTGTTTTGCATGAGCATTAATCACTAAGTAATAATAATTAAATATTTTATTTAAAAACGTATTAATGATTATAAATTTATATTCATGAATGTAAGTATTCATTCTTAAGGAGTATTTATAATTAAAAAAATAAAATTACTATTCTAAAATGCTGTTAGGACGACATATACATTTCTATTGTTAAGAATATGTAAAGGTAGGTGGACAAGTACTATTACATGTTTAGTCAATTTATAAATAATATCCTAGTGTACAAGCAGTGCAATCACTCTTTGAGAAGCATTCATCACAGTTAGAAATACAAGGTTAACATATCCCATCTTGGTCAAAGTGTTAAATGTTACATAGACAAACATTACTTTTTAGATAAAAATAAAATTTATTAAGAAACTGATTCTAAAAAGTAAAGAAAAAAAACTAAATTGAAAATATATTGATTACTTTTATAAAGTACTGTTTTCACGGCATACACATTTTTAATTTTAAGTATCATCTTTGAAAGTTGATGGGCAATCTTAGACACAAGTTCCATCTACATGTAAATAATAATTTGTTTTGCATGATGTACAGATTGTCTATGATATGCATTCATTACAATTTTATTAGCAAGCTTAACAAGCACCCATAGATTAGTAAAATCCTAAATTGCACTAAGTACAAACATTTTATGATGAGCAAGATGTGCAATTTGATTCACATTACTTACAGATATTATTTTCATCAAAATAACCTGGATTGCAAGCACATTTATTACTTTTTGATAAAAAAATTAATTTTTGAGCAAAATATATTTTATTAAAAATTTATTTTTAATATATTACTCAGATAAGGTGCTATTAGGACGGCAAATACATAATTTATTTAAATTATCTACTGCAAATGTAGATGGGCATTTAGACACACAAGATCCATCTAAATGTAAGTAATATTTCTTTTCACATTTAGAACAAGATGTTTATGAAGCACATACACTACAATTATTTGTGCACAATTTGCAATCGAATTCTACTTCAAAAAAACCAGGATTACAACGACATGTATTTCTAGATATAATTAATAGTTTTTTTTAAATTAATTGAATGATATAATTGTAAATTCTCATGTATTACCACCTAGTACTTATTATTAATACTAATAAAAAATTATTTCTTTAAAGGGATAGGTATGTAAATAGGTGTTAATATATGAAGAATTAATGGAATTAATTAAAAATTATAATAAATATTTTAATAATAAAAAATGTTAAAGTTAATTCATTATAAATATTTACTGACTTCATTTATATTTTATTTTTATATCAAACAAACTCCAAAATCTAAACAAGAAAATAATTTTTATTTCTGTTAAAAATAAATAACTTTTATTAGTTAGTTTTATTATATTTTTAATTCATAATTTAAAATACTTCTTTTTTGAAATCTTTAAATTTTTAAATGTATGTAATTAAATTATATCAATTAATTAGTTCTGAATTTAAAAGTTTAATAAATTTATTATTACTCAAAAATAGTACTATTTGGAGGACAATCGCATGATTTTTTAATTTTATTTGCTACAAATGTTGGTGGGCATTCAGACAAACAACTTTTGTTTAACAAATAATATCCTTAAGAACATTTGGAACATTCTATTAATGATGCGCATATACTACAATTAGGTAATATACATTCTTAGCAAACTCCTCCTTGATCAACATATCCATCTTTACAAGGGCAATTTTTATCAATTCTAAATATTATAAAATATATTTCATGTTAAATTTAAGAATTGTCAATCGAAAAATAAATAAAATTATTGATAAATTTATTTGATCCAATTTAATTTTTCAACGAAATCTATTATATTTAGTTATTATTGAAATTAAAAAATTTTTTTTATTTACTTTGAATATTCACTATTTTGACGACAATCGCATGAATAATTTTTATCATTTTTCACAAATGTAGCAGGACATTTAAAATCGCAAGATCCATCTTTATGTAAATATGTGCCCTAGCAAATAGTACATGTTACACCTGGAGGTAGCTATAAACAATTATTTGGGCATGGATAAGACTGTCCATTGTGATCTACAAACTTTCCTGAATTACAAACAACAGGTTTTCTCCCCGATTAATCACATGCATATGCTTTATTAAGACAAGCACAACTTCTGTCTGCAAAACAATTATTTATGCAAGTAAAAAGATTGCTTAAATAGAAATTATTTTTGCATTTGGTACATTTAGTTGGAGAAGAGCAAGAATCACAATATTAGGGACATTTAGAAATCAACCTAACTTTACTATGAAAATAATTTCTTTAATAATCATTTAGCTAAAGGGTTTAAGATTAAGCAAAAATTTTGTTTGACAATAAGTTGACTTATTCATCTCGAAAATTAAATAAACAATTTCCATATTTATCCAGATAATATCCAACTCTACAGAAGATACAAATAGTTTAATTCAAGCATTATAAACAGTTTGAAGGACATTTTTCACAAATTCCATCTATATCAACATACTACTCATCACAGATACACTTTTCACTATTTATTTTATTTTTAAAAAAAATTTAATATATTTATTTTTATATTAAAAACTTTCTGTTACTTTGACTTTAGCAAAGTGCTGTTTGGTTAGCAGACGCATTTATTTTAAGATATATCTAAAACATATGTAATTGGACAAACCAGACCAAGCAATCTATTTGAAATCAAATAAAGTGGATGTTTTATTATCAGACAAATATTGAAAGTTAATTGTATCGAATTATTTATCTCACATAGCCTTTAATCCTAACATAAATTAATTCAAATTAATTTATTTTAAATATAAATTAATTCAGATTTGTAATAATTTGAATCAACTATAAGAAAATATTTTTTTATTTATTAATTATGAACTTATATTTACATAAAATAATTATTGCCCATTTTATTTGAAATAAAACTAAAAAAATCAAATTAAAATTACAAATTCTTAAGTTAAATATTTAAGCTTTTGTGAATTGAATTGATAAGGAATTGAAATCTGTTCTGACATTTATGTAAAAATAACCTAATTTCTTGAGTAATCATATGATAATTAATATTAAATTAGATCAATTTAAATAATATCCTTTTTTAATTAGAAATTATAAAAAATAAATATAAATATTTTCATTTATTTTAATTAAAAATTAATAAAATTTACATCTATTTATACAATAGTATTTTTATTTCCTTTAGAAATAGAAATATTTGTTATTTATACTTCAGAAAGATCTTTTACATTTAAAAATTTAAAAGTTGTTTCTTTATAGTCAAATATGAACATCAAATTTATCTGTTTTTATAAGTAAAAATTATCAAAATTAAAAAATTTTATTTAAAAATTAAGTTTTATAATTAAAAATTACTTATGGAAATTCTATTATATCAGAAATAAACAACATATCAATTTTTTGTTGATTTATCTTAACTTAAATAGTCTCTTGATTTTTAGCTAGCTTAAACAAAATATTATCTGCAATATATAAATTCCACTGACACTAATTATAATAGAAATATATTTTTACTTTAATTAAAATTAAATTTTTATTAAAAAAATTATGTAAGAAATAAATAATAAAATGAACCTATTTTATTTCAAGTGTAAACCAAATTGAAAAAATTTTTAATTAAGAATTAATTATCGCTTTTAAGGAAAACTATAACTAAAAAAGGTAGATTTTTTATTTATCAAAAGATCTTTAAAAGTATTTTGATCGTTAAAGTTATTAATTTACAAAAATGAAAGAAATAACTTTTAACTTTTAAAATAATAAATTTATCAATAAAAATTTAATCTTAAGCGCATTTTATACTTCTTAAGGAAGGATAATTATTTGTTAACTTAAAATACTTGAGAAAAATTTAAAATAAAACAAAAGCTTACACTAATTAAATAGACTTAAGTTTGAAATAATGGTAATACTAAAGAGTGTAATTAAGAATAGTCATAATCATTATGAAATAATTTATCATCCAATTAAATAAAATTGGAACCGTAGCTAATTTTTTGTCCATAAAAGATATTTGGAGCATTGAATAGTTCTTAAAAGCTCTAACTCTTTAACACAAATATATTTTCTAGATCTATACAAGCATAAAAGTAAGCATTTGACTGTTTAAAAATAAAATTTAATAAATGTCTTCTTTATTAAAAATTAGTAAAATTAAAAGAGAGAGATAAAGTTTGCAAATATATTTTAAATAGATAGATATTTTTTAAAAATTTACAATCTTCTTGACGATACTTTTTTAGCAAATAGATACTTCCTAATAAATATTAGAGATAAAAGTATTTATAATTAAATATTAATTGGTGTCGTATTTGATTTATTCTAAATCAATCATTTAATATTGATTATGCTTATTAATTAAGTAAAGAAATGCCTAATATATTTATTTATAAAAAGATATTGGAAGAGTTATGTAAGCATAAACTAATCATTTTTTTTAATAATTTAAATTTACATCTTCAACGAAGTGATCTAGATACTATTCTAAGTTAATATTTCCATTTATTTGAAACTTATTTGTAATAAAGCCTTAAGAGTTAAGTTTACAGTAATTAAATAAGTTATTATTCACTTCTTCGTAGATAATTGAGTTAGTTTCCTATATTAATTTATGGAAGAGATAAATAATATTCAAAATAATTATTTTAACTATTTATATTTTACTTTTATATATAATATTTTATTCTTTATTTATGTTGGAAGAACATTAATGCTTGAAATAGCACTAATTAATGTTGTAGTCAATGCTAGAATCTTTATGATAATATTCATTATATTTATCTTAAACAAGGGAGTTCTTGAAAACAATTTTTCAGAAAACAAAAGTCTTATTTTTCTTTTTTTATTGAAATTTAGCACTATTTGATGAATAAAATGAAAAATTTAATTACTTATATTTTAATAGATACTAGAATTGTGAAGTAAGTATTAAAATACTGCATAGAATAAAAATAATCAAATAGTTTTAGATATTTTATAAATACGTATATCTTAAATTATTTTACTATAACTAATTATTGATAAACTCTTTCAATATTTATATTTGATTAGACTGTGTAAAGGTCAAATACTATTAATTTAAATATTTATTTCTAGTTAAAAATCCAGTTTTATTTATTTTTTTATATTTTATTTACTATTTTAATAAATTTTTGTATAATTTTTAATAAACCTTATTTGAAAAATTAATAAAAGCAGAATAATTTTTATTTGATTATGCAACTGAAATTAGAAAATTTTAAATATACTAAATGAACAAATTGAGTATTTTTAGAAAATAATTACTTTTTTCAATAATACCAACTTTTTCTAGCAATTAATTAATAAAAGTATGTTTTAAAATTTTTATAAAAGTTAAATAAATTTAAAACAAATTTTATTGAAGAAATCTTTTTCAAGTTGATCTTAATAAATCAGAAATTAAGTAATTTATTGAGGGCTAATTAAAGCGTAATTTAAATTAGTGAATTGTAATGAATAATATAAATGCTATTAAATTAAATCTTTTGATCTTAAAATTTATTTTTTTATTTTTATTTTACTAACTCAATATTAAAATTTTAAAACAAAGACTAAAATAAATAAAAATTTATAGTAAAATATTTACTTAAATTAGGAATAATTCTTGTGTTTACTTTATTTAATATAGTCATTTTTAAAATTGATTGATAAATAAGAATTTAATCACTCATTTCCACAATAACAAAAAACTATTTTTCAAATTTAAGATAAATTTTTAATTTTGAGTTAAACTCATTTAAGCTAAACAAAAGAGAAAATAAATAACTAAAAATAATTATTTTTGTTGAAAAGAATAGATAAATTAATACAAATAATATCAAATCCAGCAAGTTTTATTATTTTAATTTATTTTATGAATTTCAACAATTTTCATAATTCAAATACATCTGTAATATATAAAAAATCTATTGCATCATTAACTAAAGGAATATATTAAGGATTTTTGTCCTCAAATGGATGATTCGCAATAAAATTTTTTCTATCTTAAATTGTTTTATTTAAATCTTTAGGATGAATTGTATTTGCATTTAATTAATAAGCATACTCAACCACATCTTCAAGAAGCTGATTCAAATCACTAGGGTTCGCTTATGTATACTCTCCACTTAGGGGATTTCCTTCAACTTCTATTAAAAAAGGCTTCATTTTATTATTTAATAAGAAGTCAAATCTTAAAATGGAAAATTTAGATATATTCCCTAATAAATTAGTATCTGAATCTTGTTATGAAGCTTAATGCATGTATGCTTAAAATGTGTATGTTATAATTGCTAAGCATTTTTGTATTATGCTCTCAAACTGTAACTGTGTAAATTGATTATTTTTTTTTATTATCTCGAAGAATTCATCAAAGGTGTAAAAATAATTTTCAACTTCCATAGACTTCATTTCGCCACTTTTTAATACTTCATAATACCTACTATTAAATATACTATTGCTACTTTATGATAATTAACTCGCTAAATCAAATTAATATCCATTAACTCGAACGTAACCCTTTTTAGCATAAACCAGTTATGGGTTTGTAGATAGCACAGAGACATAAAAAGAAATATCTATATTCCTTTTTTCATCAATCATTAGCTAATTTTCTAAAAATTCTTCTAAGATATACTCCTTATAGACTAATTTTTAATTTTTTTAAATCATAGACATAAATTATTTTCTAAATTCTTCGAAATTTCGTACAAATTTCAAGCCAGAACCATAATTGCTTTTAGCTGGTTTAAGGACATATTTTACATTTTACTTTAAATTTCCATCAATAATTTTTTAGGAATCATCAGACTTCTAAATGTGGCTATTTTTGGTGTCTATATAATAGCTTTTTAATAAAAAGTTATTTGAACTAAAAGCCATAATACACTTTTTATCAGAAACCTCAAGTTTATTTTCTTCATCTTAATCAATACATGACTAAGAAAGCAACTAATCAAAGTCATCAAGTATTTTCTTTAAGCAGTCTTTTCTTGTAAGAAGCTAAGAAAATGCTATTGGGTGACTAATTTGATAGAGTTAGTTAAAATGCATTTTTTATTATTACTCTTGGGAGTATTTCACAAAATTGCAATGCTCTTCTGTTTCAATAATATGATCTTCTATATCCCACTTAAGATAAATATTATAGCTTTCACCTTTAGAATTATTAGTAAAAACATCCTAATCAAATTTATAAACAAGTTCAAGTTATTTATTGATAAAAAACTCCTCTATTAACTAAGAAACTCCAATAGCTGACTCTCCAATCAATATCTTAGGTTTATAAGAGCCAAAATAATTATGCATGCTTTTAAAACCATTATTAATAAAGAATCCATCTTTAACATTTTTCGAATATAAACATTCAAAATATTATGTAATTTCATTACCAAATGAGCTAGTAAAAAATTTATTTATACAGAATTCAACACAATTAGCATGTTTATTTAGCATTTAATCTTAGTTTTTTACTAATTTTTTTTTACTTTCATAGCAATAAACATACCTACAATAAGATACTTGAGCTTTACAACTTTCAAAATCATCACATGTAGATGATATTTAGCAACTATTAAATTTTTCAAAATCTATACTTTAGCTTTAATGCTCCTCACTGGTCTCTATTTTAACAATACTAGTAGACTAGCAATTTACAAGTCTTTAGAAAAGCACTAAAATTAGCAATACAATTATTCTCAATATTTGTGGATAATTAATTGATTCCATTTCAAAAAATAATTAAATATATCTATCGCTTGTGATTAATATCTACAAAAATTTAATATAAATATCTTATATGCAATCTTTAATTTAATAAAATAGCAGGTTTTACGTTTTAGATAATTAATAAATACAACATTAAAGTTCTCATAAAATGAAAAAAAATACAACAAATGATAAAATAGCAAATAAAATAATTTCTATTGATAATTTGATCTTATTAGGACTTTATTAACTTGTTTCATTCAATTTCCTTCAAAGTAATTCAAATTTTTTTGGATATCATTTTTAAGTAAATATCCTTAAGCTGAGTTGATTATGTTAAAGATTTAAATAAAAATTGATTTGTCTAATTTATTTCAATGAAAAATAGCATATATTAAAAAAAGATATTATATTTGGCTAAATATCAAAAAATAGTAATTTGATGAAAATGAATAAAATATTTATTTACTGAAACAAAGAGCAGACCTAATTGATAATTATCATAAATGTTAAAAAAGTTAATATTTGTTATAACATTGAATTAGTTAGATGATTATATTTAAAGAGATAAATTGATGAGGAATCTTTAATAAAAGAAATTAGAGTGTGTAGAAAGATTCGAGATTTATTCTTTGAATGGTAATTATCTGTATGCTTGTTCAATATTAGATAAATTATTGAATATTCTTGCAAAGAAAACTAATAAACCATCTCAGAGTGAAAAATATTAATAATTCAAAAAATTAATAATTAAATTACAAAGATATTCAAACAAAAATAAATGAGATCTGCATTTATTATCTTAGCACTTTTGGCTGCTTCTGCCTTCTGCACCCAAAACGTTCCCATTCCCAACACCTATGATGGTTTTGTTATTGGTGATCCTAATGCTCCAGTTACCGTAGAAGCTTTCTACGATTTACTTTGCCCTGCCTCCGAAGCTGCCAATGAATAAATTAATTTACTCTTCACTAATGCTACTTTTGCTTAATACTTACCCAAGATTAAATTCATTTACCACATTTTCCCTCTTCCTTATCATGACTATGCTTTCAGGTAAAATTCAATTATTTACAAATAAATTACTTTGATGAAAAAACAGATTTTTTTGAAATATCTTAAAAATGTTTTTTTATTTAATAAGTATTTTTAAAAGCTTTTGCGTAATCTTCATTTAATTTGCCAAAAAAAAAAAAAAATTGAATTATTAAAGAAATTTATTACAGATTAAAGAAGTTTATTTAATTAAAATTAAAAGTTTTGCCTAGTTATACAGACATGTCTTCGATAACCATGATGCTAAAACTACTTTCGATTTCATCAACTGGTCATTCGATATCTAAGAATAATACTGGAACGGTCCTGTTACTAACTATACTAGAAATGCTGTTTTCAACAAACTTGCTCACTAATTACACGACTTTGTCCCTAAAATTTCTATTAATGAAACTCTTGCAGCTCTTACCAACAGAACTTATGACCTCGAAGCTCGTTATTCATGGAAATATGGTGTCTCTAGAGAAGTTGCTGGTACTCCTTACTTCTTCTTGAACGGTGTTTAACTCGATGGTGCTGAAAGTTTCAGCAGTTCCACTTGGGCTGAAACCTTGTTACCTTACATATAAGCTGACTCCAACGGTAAACCCAAATCCGTCAACTAATTCAAGGATTTCTTCAACTCTACCTAATATTGAACAAATTTAAATGTATTAAATAAAAAATATTTTATTGAAAATAAATAGTAAAAAATTTATATATTAGTAAACTACTTCACGTATCATCAATTAAATAAATGCTAATAAAATTTTTAAATTAAAATCTTCGATTAATAAAATGTATTTTTTTTTAATTAGTAATATTTTTAATTAATTTATTCGATATAAATTAAATATAAATTTTATTTTTTAACAATTAGAGATAGTATTTATTTTATAATAAAATATTCAATCAGCTACCCAACTTTCAATTTGTTACGTTTATTTTAACAAAATAATAAATAATTAATTAATCAATCAATTAATCAGTAAGTTTATAAATAATTTTTTCTTCTATCTGTTATTTAAAATATGTCATTAAAAATAAATTTTGTGTGTTTATAAGCAAAATATTTTAATTTTATTCTAAAAATAAAGCAAAAATAAATTAACTTATTAAATTTATTTAATTTTGTTTAATTTATATTTTTACAGACATTTTTAATTTAATTTCACTCACCTTAATTTCCTTGGATTTTCATAAATAATTCTCAAAATATATATTTCACATTTTATGAAAATTTTCATTATTTATCCTAAAAATTATGGTGAGGTTTTTTTTTAATCTATGAGGTGTTAGGGTAATATTAAATATGCTTTATCAAAAACTTAAATACTCACACTAGCATATGATTTATTAATTAAATATTTTGCTAATTTTTTATTTGAATAATTTTATTTTAATCTTATTGAAAAATAGTTTTTATATAATAATAAATTGTAATAAGTGTAATGAAGAAGAAGTTATTTTTTAATAATAATTATATTAAGTAGAGTTATTATATAGAATTTGTTTTTAAAATAATTTTTATATTTTACTTTTTTATATAATTCTATATTATAAATTTTAAATAATAATTATTATTTATAGTAGTCAAATTTTTATATTTTTCATCACAATTTCTTTCCACCGCTGAATTATAACTTGAAGTTTTCAATTTCATCATCTTCCACTATTTTTTTAATTAATGTTTTTTAATAATTTCTTATTACTTTTACAAAATTTATTTACATTTTCTGAAAATAGGAATGGGTTCATTTAAGATTTATCCACCAGGAACAAGAGAAAGGAGACCAGAGATAGCATCAGGTTGAGAACTGATAAATTCAAGGATCTTTTCATCTTTAGCGGTTCTGGCTTCGTAACCCAACATGAAATTAATTTTAGCACTGAGAGTAGGCATGAAAGGTTCGAATAAGGCAGAGAGGAATCTAATGATGTTGACCAAAACGAACAATGAGACAATGTGTCTACCAGTTTCTTGGTTGGCCTTGTTCCAAGGTTCATTCTTTTGCATATAATTATTACCTTCAGAAGAAATTTACATAACAACCTTAAGAGCACTCTTGAGTTCTACCTTTTCCATATGAGAAAGATATTGTTGGAACAAATTCCAAATAGAAGCTAACCAGTTCTTATCTTCTTCGTTCAATAGACTGAAATCTAAAGTAGGTACTTTCTGTTCATAAAAAATGCAAGTTTAGAATGATAATTAATAAAATTTAAACACTAATTTACCTTTTCTAACTTAGAGTAGAGGAATTTCAAAATACGTTGAACAAGGTTACCAACGTTAGGAAGAAGTTCGTTGTTATTCTTAGCAGCAAAGTCACTCCATTAGAAATTAGTATCGTTTTATTCAGGTCTGTTAATCAAAAGGTAATATCTCCAAACTTCAACGGGAATGCCAGTCTTTTAGGCGTCATCACCAAATACACCAACGCATTTACTCTTAGAGAATTTACCAGATTCGTATTAAAGATATTCACAAGATGACATAGAGTTGAGTAGTGTCCAGTTTTCACGAGTTCCCAAGAGAGTACCAGGGAAGATGACACAGTGGAAAGGAATATTGTCCTTACCGATGAATTGATAAAGTTTAACATTTTCAGGGTTTTTCCACCATTTTTCCCAGTCTTCAACCAAATTAGCAGTAATGGAAGGATAACCAATAGGAGCATCGAACCATACGTACATAACCTTGTTTTCCCAACCAGCAAGAGGAATAGGAGTACCCCATTTTAAATCTCTAGTAATGCATCTATATTTTAAACCATTCTTAATCCAAGCCTTGGATGTTTTATATGCGTTATCACTCCAATCTCCTTCCTTTGATCTCCTAAAATTTATTTTATTAAAAATTACTTTAAAATATTGTTGAAATAATTTAGTGTTGTGTTTACTTTTCAATGAATTCGTCGATTTCTTTTTCAAGTTGAGGTAAATCGAGGAAGCAGTGCTTAGTTTCTTTAATAACAGAAGGATTCTTGCAAATTGTACATTTAGGATTGATGAGTTCGGCAGGATTAACGAGTTTACCACACTTATCACATTAATCACCGTGGCAATCATCGTGTTAGCAGAAGGGGCAAGTACCGTTAACGTATCTGTCTGCTAAGAATTTATCACAAGCAGCACAGAAACTTTGGTGCATGATGTCTTCCTTGATGTAACCATTCTTATGAAGAGTTAAGAAAATATCTTGAGAAATCTTGGTGTGCTTTTCAGTAGTGGTTCTTCCGAAAATATCAAAATCGATATCAAACCAATCATAGACATCCTTTTAAATCTTATAGTACTTAGTACAAATTTCAGCAGGAGTAGTCTTTTCTTGAAGAGCCTTCATTTCAGTGGCAGTACCGTATTCATCAGTACCACAAATGTAAATTGTATTATAACCTCTAGATCTGCAATATCTAGCAAAAACATCACCACTCAAGACACATCCAATCAATGTACCCAAGTGAGGAGCGTTATTGACGTAAGGAAGAGCAGAGGTGATCAAAATGTTTCTTTAACCATCTACTGGTAAAACGGGTTCACCCTTATTGCTTCTAACGAATCTAATATTGTTAATTTTTTCCTTATAAGCAGGATCGATAGTATCAACTTTAGCAGGAGCCTTTTATTTATATATTAAGTAAGTTGGTAAATTAATTATTAGTAATATATTAAACTTATATGTTGAATTAAGGTATTTTAATATTTTGCTAATTTTAATTCTATATTTTAAGAAAGATTGTTTACCTTTTTAGGAGCTTCAGTAGCAGCAGGTTTTTCAGCCTTTTCTTTTTTGGCTTCCTTTTTCTCAGCCTTTTCAGCCTTCTTAGGGTTTTCAGCTTTTTCTGTTTTTTCAGCCTTTTTAGGATTTTCAGTTTTTTCAGCCTTTTCTGGTTTTTCAGGTTTGCCTTCTGGTTTTTTTCCAGCAGCTTTCTTTTCCTTAACAACAGGTTAAGCAACGAAAGTTTCAGCTTTGCTAACAGCATCTTCTAAGGTTGATTAAGCAGCAACAAACCAATCGTGGAGATGGGTAAAACGCTTAATGCTGAAAGGAAGATCCTTAACAAAGGCTCTGACACGAGTGTAAGCAATAACATCAATTTCACCAAGTTCTTCCTAAAAATATTAAAATAATTTTATATTAATCTAAGCTATTTGATAGAAATTTTCATTTTTAATTAATTTAGAAATGATATTTTCTCCTTGTGAAAAAAGTAAAAAATAGATAAATAATTTACTCCGCTTAAGAATTATCTGGTAGAAAGTATTTTATTCAAATTTTCTAAGGCATTTTCTTCTACTTATCTTTTACCACTCTAATAAGTTTAATATAAAATAGTTGAATAAAATATTTAATTATTTAGTGGAAAGTAAGTAATAAATACCTTCAATTAGTTGCAAACAAAGTAGAAATCACCAAATAAAGGACTATCAATCTTTAACTAGAGGAGATAAGAGAAAATAGCAGTCCATCCGCTAATTGCTTATTAATTTTAGACAGCAAGAGTGTCATTTGCTACAGCTTTATTAAATTATAGAAAAAAAATTATTTATTGTTTATTATATTAAATGTTTGATTCTTCAAATGAATGAAAAACGAATTATTATATTTTGTTCTTACATTCATCCCTTGAGAATGTAATCTTTTTTTCCTCATGGAAAAGGTTGGCTGAAGCAACAAGTGCTTAACCCTTGGTTGTGAATTTTCTAAGTTTAACTTCCATTTTTCAAAATATTTTGAATCTAGCTTTATTTCTTTTTTCCTTCTTTTTAGAAAAGTAGTATTTTCAAATTTAGATGAAATTTATTTATTAATTTTTTTTCTAAAGAATTTATTTTAAATTTTTTAATTAATCGCTTTTATAGTAAAAATCTTTTTCTCTGGTTTTTCTTTTTATTTTTATTTATAAATCTTTGGCGTATTTTATATGTATCTTTAAGATTTCCTGTTCTGATAATAATACAAAGCAGAATTTATCGTAAGCTCTGCATATAAATATTTTTTTTAACGAAGAACCTAATATGTCTATGATACATAAATAGAAATAATTATAAATCAATTTGTCTATATATGCAGCATAACTTTATATTTAAAAGAAAATATATTCATTTATCTATTTCTTGTTTCTTGGGAGTTATTAATCTAGTAATCAGAAGTTTATTTCTACATAGAACATAGTAATAAAATAAGTAATCTCTCACTAAGCAAAGAGCAAAAGAGTAATAAGTTCACCCATGACCTCATAAATGGATAATATTATTCTTGTCACACTTCAATATCATTTTAATTTATTCTTTTATTAAATATATGTTCTAGTATATTTCATCTAAATTCAATAGAAAATTTCCAGAACAATTTATAATAATACGTTTATAATGAATTAATTCATCAAAAGCCCAATGATGCCTTTTATAATCAACTTTTTAAAAATTTTAATAACTAGCTGATCTACTATTTACAATCTGACGAAATAAATATTTTTTTCAAACATAGTTTATTATTAAGTAAATATATTTTTTTACTTAATTTTAAGTTGAAGACTTTGTTAAACTTTTTAAAGAGCATAGAAGTGAATAAATGTTCTGTTTTTATTTTGCATAGGAATTAAAATATTACCTCTTTAAAATTAATTTAAATTGGCTTCTTTTATAAAAAATGTTAGAATTTTTAAGAGATATGTTAAGAAATAGTTTGAAAAATTTTTATTCTTAACTTTGAAGAAAATGAGTGGTGATAAAATATTAATAGAAACTTTTAATTAAACAAAAAAAGTAGTATAAATTGAGCAAGTTAGGTATTTTCAAAAATCATCAAGTATTACCATCAATTATAAAGAATATATTATGAGCAACATGAATAAATTAATTCCATAATTAAAGATTTTGCAGATATTTTAAAAAATAAAAATAAAAATTTCTTTGATTATTTATTATAAGAGACATTTTAAGAAGCATAATCAAACATTTTTATTTTAAACTTGAAGAAAATGAGTGGTGATAAAATTTTAATAAAAGCTTTTAATTTATTAAAATAATGATGTGTATTAAACTCATTACGATAAAAGGAATTTTCAAAAATCATCAATTTATGATCATAAAATACTATGAATATATTATGGAGAATATTCTAATTAATAAAAATAAATATTTCAAGTATTATTTTTACATAAATTTTTATTAGTTATTACTCTTGTTTACCATAAAAGAGAATTTACAATCGGGGCTTTTTTAGATCAGTAGGCAGAAAAAACCTCTACTACACTGTTATTCAGCTTTTTATGTAGGTAATTCGCTTTTTGTAATTGTTCAAATAACATTTTGATTTTTTTGATATTTAATTTAATTGGAGAAATTAATAATATTTAAGAAAAACCCATAAAAAATTAAAGATACTAAATTTATTTATTTATAATATTTGATGATTGAATAAATATTAGCACCTGAGAATAGACATTTGTATGTTGAATGGTTTAAGGCTATTATTTTGGGCTTATTAATGAATCGCTCTCAGGGAGCTAATTTTTTTAAAAGTAATCATTAGAAGAAAAATAAAATGTTGAGAATGAAAGCAATTCACAATTTTTATACAAAAATTAGTGAGTCATGAATTAGTTTAATTTAATTTGTATTTGATCCAAATCATATTTATTGTTTAGGTGATATTCAGATTTCCTTGCAAAAGTTTTACTTTAAGCAAATTATATGGAAATAATACTTTTTAAAAAGGAAAAAAGTAAGTTAAATAAATGGTTGGTAAAAAAAAGTTACAAAAAATAAAAAATAAATTTCTTATTTAAACATTTTGGAGCTGTTTCAAAATTAAATACACTGTTATTCAGCTTTTTATGTAGGTAATTCGCTTTTTGTAATTGTTCAAATAACATTTTGATTTTTTTGATATTTAATTTAATTGGAGAAATTAATAATATTTAAGAAAAACCCATAAAAAATTAAAGATACTAAATTTATTTATTTATAATATTTGATATTTGAATAATATTAGCACCTGAGAATAGACATTTGTATGTTGAATGGTTTAAGGCTATTATTTTGGGCTTATTAATGAATCGCTCTCAGGGAGCTAATTTTTTTAAAAGTAATCATTAGAAGAAAAATAAAATGTTGAGAATGAAAGCAATTCATAATTTTTATACAAAAATTAGTGAGTCATGAATTAGTTTAATTTAATTTGTATTTGATCCAAATCATATTTATTGTTTAGGTGATATTCAGATTTCCTTGCAAAAGTTTTACTTTAAGCAAATTATATGGAAATAATACTTTTTAAAAAGGAAAAAAGTAAGTTAAATAAATGGTTGGTAAAAAAAAGTTACAAAAAATAAAAAATAAATTTCTTATTTAAACATTTTGGAGCTGTTTCAAAATTAAATACACTGTTATTCAGCTTTTTATGTAGGTAATTCGCTTTTTGTAATTGTTCAAATAACATTTTGATTTTTTTGATATTTAATTTAATTGGAGAAATTAATAATATTTAAGAAAAACCCATAAAAAATTAAAGATACTAAATTTATTTATTTATAATATTTGATATTTGAATAATATTAGCACCTGAGAATAGACATTTGTATGTTGAATGGTTTAAGGCTATTATTTTGGGCTTATTAATGAATCGCTCTCAGGGAGCTAATTTTTTTTAAAGTAATCATTAGAAGAAAAATAAAATGTAGAGAATGTAAACTATTCACAATTTTTAAAAAAAAAATTTAGTGAATCATGAATTAGTTTAATTTAATTTGTATTTGATCCAAATCATATTTATTGTTTAGGTGATATTTAGATTTCCTTACAAAAGTTTTACTTTAAGCAAATTATATGGAAATAATACTTTTTAAAAAGGAAAAAAGTAAGTTAAATAAATGGTTGGTAAAAAAAAGTTACAAAAAATAAAAAATAAATTTCTTATTTAAACATTTTGGAGCTGTTTCAAAATTAACTACACTGTTATTCAGCTTTTTGTGTAGGTAATTCGCTTTTTGTAATTGTTCAAATAACATTTTGATTTTTTTGATATTTAATTTAATTGGAGAAATTAATAATATTTAAGAAAAACCCATAAAAAATTAAAGATACTAAATTTATTTATTTATAATATTTGATGATTGAATAAATATTAGCACCTGAGAATAGACATTTGTATGTTGAATGGTTTAAGGCTATTATTTTGGGCTTATTAATGAATCGCTCTCAGGGAGCTAATTTTTTTAAAAGTAATCATTAGAAGAAAAATAAAATGTTGAGAATGAAAGCAATTCATAATTTTTATACAAAAATTAGTGAGTCATGAATTAGTTTAATTTAATTTGTATTTGATCCAAATCATATTTATTGTTTAGGTGATATTCAGATTTCCTTGCAAAAGTTTTACTTTAAGCAAATTATATGGAAATAATACTTTTTAAAAAGGAAAAAAGTAAGTTAAATAAATGGTTGGTAAAAAAAAGTTACAAAAAATAAAAAATAAATTTCTTATTTAAACATTTTGGAGCTGTCTCAAAATTAACTACACTGTTATTCAGCTTTTTGTGTAGGTAATTCGCTTTTTGTAATTGTTCAAATAACATTTTGATTTTTTTGATATTTAATTTAATTGGAGAAATTAATAATATTTAAGAAAAA